TCGTTCCCAGTCTGGCGAGTCTCTTCCAAGGCCCCCACTGCCGTTGCGAAGGTCCTGCGGCTTTTCTTTGACTCGGTTGCCCGCTTCCGTTTCTCTTGGCGGTACCACTGGGCACGCTCCGAGGAACCCATCTTGGCCACGCTTCCCCTCAGGGCCTCAGCGCTTTTTCGAGCTTTCTTGGCCTCCTCGCTTTCTTTGGCTTCTTCGGCAGAGCCCTTCTTCGGTGCTTTAGCCATCCGAGAGAGGCACCGGTCTGTGGACGAACAGCAGGAGCAGATCCGCCTCAAGCAGTTCCTTCCAGTTGGGTAGCTCGTCAAGATGCTTGTCTCTTCCTCACACCTGATGCACATGATGCTCTGAGGCATCTCCTGGTCCGGGGCATCTGTCATGCTTGCTGCGGGGCAGGGGAGCACGAGTGTGGGAGCTGAGGGGCTTGTGGAGCCAAACAAATCGCTGCAAGACAAGACACAAAAACAAGAACCCTGAGTTCAATGGCTGTCATCAGGGAACTACCCGGCAAGCTTACTCAGCGAACACAGAAGGGTTATCGGAAGACTGTTTTGCACTATTCTCAAGCTTGCTGTGTGCACACACACACACACATCTGCTCATCCACCTACCATCCTAGCAGGTCCTATCTACGAACAGGCAGACCGCCACCATGGCAACCGACACCGCTTAGAAGCGCTAGTCGGAATCCGAGAGGTGGATCGCTTCTTTTGGCAGGTTCAAGTGAGGTGGGAAACGCAGCTTGCGCTGAGCATTCTCTGGCATGTCTCGCCCTGAGCTAGTAGAACGCCTCCGTCTGTCGCCAACCTTGCTTCCGGAGCTTTGTGCTGGCTCAGATTCGTTCTTGGAGCTCTTGCTTGCTGGCGAGAGCCAGTTTTTGGATGAAGCTTTGGCTTTAGCCAAACACTCGAAGAGGTGTGTTGCTTTCTCACTCAGGACGAGTGGACTCTGTGGCGCAGCATCATCAACGTCCATGCCCGGATCATCATCCGAAAAAAGCTCGTCAACCAGTCGCTCAAGCTCTAGCTCCAAGTCATCGGACTGGTGACGTGGTAAGTCCTGGGTGCTGCCTTCTGGCTGGTGACGTGGTAAGTCCTGGGTGCCATCTAAACCAGCTGTGCTGGTGTCACGAGGCAGAGTCTTTGGGGCTTCCTCTTCAGCTGAAGCCTCCGGCTTTGTGCTGGTGTCACGAGGCAGAGTCTTTGGGGCTTCCTCTTCAGCTGAAGCCTCCGGCTTTGTGCTGGTGTCACGGTCACGAGGCAGAGTCTTTGGGGCTTCCTCTTCAGCTGAAGCCTCTGGCTTTGTGCTGGTGTCACGAGGCAGAGTCTTTGGGGCTTCCTCTTCAGCTGAAGCCTCTGGCTTTGCGCTGGTGTCACGAGGCAGAGTCTTTGGAGCTTCCTCTTCAGTTGGAGCCCTTGGCTTTCGAACCCTGTTGGCCTTGGGGTTGCGAGTCTTTGGGGTTACCTCTTCAGTTGAAACCTTTGGCTTTGTAGCTGTTTTGGCCTTCGGGGTTCGGGTCTTTGGGCTTGCCTCTTCAGTTGAAGCCTTCGGCTTTGCACTGCTTTTGGCCCTCGGTTTTCGAGTCTTTTGTGTTGCCTCTTCAACTGCAGCCTTTGGTTTGGAACCTTTTGTGGCGCTTGGCCTCGGGGTCTTTTCAAGGATACAAGCTGCTGATGTACCCGGTGGCTTCGTGTGCGGCAGAAGCTCCACTGCGCAGGCTTTGCAACGGTTGCCTGCAGTGAGCACGCCAGAGTTGACCGCTGCCTCCACGAGCGGCGAGGCAACAGCGGCCAGCTGCACTGGCGAGAGAGCGTTCCCGATCGCATGCAGGGCATGGGTGTCTCTCGAGAACAAGGCCGCGTGGCTTGCACGCTGCCCCAGAGCGCTGCACCGCTCAGCGATGCTGAGCCACCTGTGCAGTCGCATGACCTGCCATGGCCTCGACAAGTCCTCGCAACTCAGAAGAAACAAAGGTGGCCCCGTAGTCCTCAGTGATGGGATCTTGCCCCAACCCCACTTCCCGCCGAAAGTTCTCAAGGGGTTTCGGTCGAGCTCCACAACAACCGTGTTCGAGGGCAGCGGCTTGCCTTGGGCACGATGCTCTTCGATGCACTGAGATATGGTCTGCTTGTACAATGTGAGGTTAGCAGCGTGCCCTGCACACAAACTCTGCACATCGGTCGCAGCCAAGCTCAGATCCAAAATCTCTTCCAGTGTGACTGCCGGGAGCAGATCCGTGCAGCACAGGGGGGCAGGGAGGAACGCCTGCATGGGGTCTGGCAGGCAGTCTCTCCTTAGCCCTCTGATGAAAAAACGACCTCTCTTGACTGGCAGAAACTCCGCAGCATCCTTTTTCACGGTGTCTACCAAAAAATATGGCAGTGACACTTCAAGTCTCAAGAGCATCTCATTCAGAAACTCAGCATGGTTGGCATCAGCCAAATGTGAGCTGTTTTCCAGAATGAAAAACAGAAGACAGCCACGCGACCCTTCCTCACATATCATGCTTACAACTGATTCAAAAACATCTGTGCGGCCTTTTTCGTCCTGGGCGCCCTGCCTTAAACCTGTGGAGGCAAAAGGCTGACAAGGGGGCCCGCTTATCAAGCCTTCCGCACTTGACAGTTTTGACAGCACGACATTCCTCTCGATGTCCCCTTCTTGCAAACCCAGTTTGACTTCCGAAGTCCCCTGCAAACCCTGGTTTCGCAGAGCTCGCCAAAACGGCACCAAGTCCATGTTGAAATCGTAGGCTGCGCATGGCCTGTAAACAAGCCCTGCTTTCTGCATCCACTCTCGATAAGCAGAGATGCCTACACAGGGCTCAGCAACCACAGGTGCACGCCCCAGCTTTGAGCTCCAAGGACTCATCGCATACAGGAGCTTCGCTGCCCCAGTCTCCATCATGCTGCAACCCACTAAAAACAAAAGCTTGGCTTGAGAAAGAAAAGAAATCAGGATGATGGCTCCGGCTGTCTACGCTATTCTTGGAACTGGCTTTGCTCACTCTCAGTGACAAACTCAGCACTGATGTAAACATTTCCACCCACGGAAAAAGACAAGCAATCATGCAATGCAGTCTCTCAGTCAGGCAATTGGGTGGCACAGTCTACCCTTGCAATGCACTTGTTTCCATTTCCATGCAAGGCCTTGAGACAGGCAATCATGCAATCTCTGAGTCATGCAATTCGGCGACAGCATTCCACCGCAAACTCTTATTGTCTGCGACAGCATTCCACCGCAAACTCTTATTGTCGGCGACAGCATTCCAGCATTCCACCGCAAGCTCTTATTGCCGAAAAAAAACCGCACTCAGATTCTGGACCCTTCCTTCCACCATTGCCACCACCAAGTGGTCCCATCATCTGTCTCCATTCGTTGACCCTTCCTTCCACCATTGCCACCACCAAATGGTCCCATCATCTGTCTCCATTCGTTTCCAGCACCACTTCCAAATGATAGTCGCAACCCTTTCCCCTCGCGGGGATCGGGATCGCTCGGATCGCTCCTGTGTGCGGCGGGTGATCACACTAGTGATCACACTGCTGCCCGCCTGCGGCTGGGTCGCATCAGTGATCACACTGCTGCCCGCCTGCGGCTGGGTCGCATCGGTCTCATGCACTGGAGAGTCACCTCGTTTGCGTTTGCCAGGCATACCCCTGGCGCTTTTTTTCTTTGCTGCTAACACAAACAAAGCCTCGAGAGAAAACGGCTGCTGTGCAAAGAGTTTAGAGGACGCAAAGGACATCATGAGACGTGGGCGGGACCGGGGCTGGGCGGAACTCGGGCGGGACAAGGGCGGGACATGGCGGGACGTGGGCGGGACATGGCGGGACATGGGCGGGACATGGCGGGACATGGGCGGGACATGGCGGGACATTGGCGGGACATGGGCGGGACACGGGCGGGACATGGGCGGGACATGGCGGGACACGGGCGGGACATGGGCGGGACATGGGCGGGACATGGCGGGACACGGGCGGGACATGGCGGGACACGGCGGGACATGGCGGGACACGGGCGGGACATGGCGGGACACGGGCGGGACATGGCGGGACATGGGCGGGACATGGCGGGACATTGGCGGGACATGGGCGGGACACCCAAAACGGCCCCAGACACCCCGGGCCCCGCCCCGGACACCTTTCCCGGGCCCCGCCCCGGACATCCCGGACACAACCCCGGACATCCCGGACACGACCCCGGACATCCCGGACACGACCCCGGACATCCCGGACACGACCCGGACACGACCCCGGACACCCCGAACACGAGACCCCCAAACAGGTGCTAAATCCCCTGCAAACGCCCTCCAGAGCCCTCCCAGTGCCCCCAAAGCCCCCCCCGAAGACCCCCAGGGCCGCCCCCTTGAGAATTCACTGTGTTTTCTGTGTTCTGTCTTCTTGTGGCCTTAAAACCCTTTATGAGTTCAACATGCCCGGCAAAAACAAAACTGAAACGCTTCAGTAGTTGTTTTGCAACAAACGCTCGACCGTGATGATTCCTGGTTGTAGTTTTTTCTGGCTGTGCACTTGACCACACGCCCCGCCAGCCTGCTGAGAACGAATCTTTTTTGGCACGACTGTGCTCGGCAGTGCTTGGTGAGTGGAACACTGGAGCTACTTCCGACTTGGCCTTTTCAGCTTCAGTTGTGCTTGGTGCCTAAGGGTTCAGGTTTCCGGCTAAAAGCTTAAAAGCTGTAGTAGCTGTATTTTGCTTGGTGCCTAAGGGTTCAGGTTTCCGGTTTCCGGCTAAAAGCTTAAAAGCTGTAGTAGCTGTAGCTTTGCTTGGGGCCTGAAGGCTTTCGTGAGCTAAGGGCGGGTGAAGGCCAGTCGGGCTCCTACCCTACGGCCTGGCTCTACGGCCTAGCTACCGCGGCCTAGCCTCCTCTGCGAGAGCCGAATCTTAGGGCTCTGGGTCCAGGATCGCACGGATCTTAGGACACCAGGCCCAGGATTCTTCCTCTCGCCCAAAAATCTTCGATGTTAGGACTACTGCTGCTGCATGTCCAGCATCTTCGTGGTGGCATCGAAAAAGGCCAGCATCATCTGGGGGATCTGAGGGCTCTGGCTCTGACCCGCCACCATGGCCCGATCCCTTGGCGATGATTTGCTGCGGCCTAGCTGCCCTGTCGGCTCCTTCCGCGAATCGCGCCCACGGCGGCCGGAGCCTGCCGCAGGCTCGCTCGCCCTGCGGCTGCGGGAGCGGCCCGAGAAGCGTCGGTCCATGTGCTCGCTGCCGCGGGAGCTCTTGCGGCTCCCTCGAGAGCTTGCCTGGCCGCCGCCTTTGCGGCTCCCCCGAGAGCTTGCCTGGCCGCCGCCTCGAGAGCTTGCCTGGCCACGGCTCTGGCGGCTCTCACCACGGCTTCTCCGCCGCCCACGGCTGCCATCATCATCTCGGCTCTCTTCACGCCGCGGGCCACGTCTGTGCGGCGGCTCCTCCACACGCCCCCTGCTCCGCAGCTGCACCGGCGGCCTGTGTTGGCTCATGCTAGCCGCCCGGTCCTCCTTTGATGGCTGCTTCTTCCGCTTATTGTGCATGGCCTGCAAGCATTCCTTAGCCTCGTCGGAGTTCGGGTGCGTGCCCAGGCAGTGCTGCAGCATGTCCCACCTGCGCATGAACTGCCGTGAGCAGTGTCTGCACTGGCACGCACCCGAGCTCGCCTGCTCTTCCGCAGGCTTTTGGCCGGCCACATTTTGGCCGGCGGCGTGGAGCCGCCACTGGCGGCAGTATTCGCTGTTCTCCAGGTGGCTTTGCAGGCCTTCTTTCTTCACACACATCCAGCAGTGCTCGCAGCGAACGACATCTGCCTCGTCCGCTGAGTGCCGGCTGCGGTTCTTCCTCGCAGGCCGCGCTGCAGGCTCGCCCTCCGCCGCCTCCGCCTCCTTGTCTTCCTTGGGCTCCTTGGCCTTGCCGCTCTCTTTCTCGTCGGCCTGGGCCTCGTGTGCCTGCTTGGCCTCCTTGGCAGCGGGGGCTGCACGGGGCTTTTCTTTCTTGCTGGAGGACTCACTGTTGCCTCCGCTGGAAGAGCTGCTCTCCTTCTTCTTCTTGCGCTTCTGAGCAGCCTCCTCCTTTTTGCCACCCTTTTCTTCTTTCTTCTTCTCCTGGTCGTGGTCCACCACCACGATATCATCCTTCCGCGACTGGGAGTCCGGCTCCTTTCTTAGCCGCCTCCTCCTCCTCAGACTCCTCGTCGTCATCCTCGCTGCTTAGGTCCACCTGGCCAGGATTTTTTTTCGGCGCCGGCATTGCTGCAGCCCCCGAGGGGTTAGCAGCAACACCGCCACCTGTGGCTGCACCGTGGGCTGCACCCGCGCCAGCAAAAGGGGCCGCCGCCGCCGGCGGATGCGGCGGCAACAGCGCAGGCGGCCGGTGTGGGAGCTGCGCCTCGCCCCACTGGTTGTAGACCACCGGCACCCACCTGCGAGCAATTTTTTTTAAGGTGTTGGGGGTTTTGCTTTGCTTTTGAGAGGCTAATCTGTTCCAACAGACACCTGCAACTGCAACCTGGCTTGCTGCTACACCTATAGCGGGGACGCTAAACTGACTACTGTGCATCCTGTAGCTCCAGGGTAGCTTCGTGCAGCCCACAGACCAGGTAGCGTGCCGATCCAAAGTGCAGCCTGGGAAATGGGTAGCGTCGAAAACGCAGCCCGAAACCCAGGTGAGCACACGGTGGCCGCATCTGGCTCTGTGAGTTAGCAAGCTTCTTACTCTAGGGGCTTAAGGACTGCCTGGGTTTCAAAGCTTTGTAACTTTACAGGTTTCTCACCGCAAAGCTTTCGAGACTCGACTACACTTCTCCCTGCCGGCCTTCCGTAGTGGGAGAAATGCCAATGCATTGGCCCCTGCACAGCCCAAAGGAGCCGAAAGGGGCTGCGGGCAGTCACACATGCACGGGCAGTCACACATGCACACAGTGACCGAGGTACTCTTGCAGCAAACGGAAGCAGCACAGTCAGCCAACACGTGTCCTGCATCCAAACAATGCAACAAACTAAAAAAAAACCCTCAAACGTTCACTCTGACTGCCGTGTGTTGCATCAAGCGATCCGGAGCATCATGGCATCCACCTGCTCTTCACTTGGCTTGTCCGCAATGTGAGCTTCAGCTCTGCGGTGGTGAGCTGCTCGCATTTGCCAAGCAAGCGTCAAAATGCACTACCTGTGTCCTACCGCCTCCCAAGTCGATTTCTAGAGGAGCGACACGTCTACCACCGCTGGCCATGCTTGGCTGCGGCTCTTCTGCTTGCATGAGCTTTTCAGGCAGCTCTTGCACAAGCTCTTCTAACTCGGCATCATCAGCCTCTGGGTCAAGCTCCAGACCTGTAGCCGCATCTCTTGTCAAGCTGCGGCCAGCAGGTCTTTTTTTCTTCTGCGCGAACCGAGCATTGATTTCCTCTGCAGAAGCATCCCGCAAGCTGCTGAGATCGTCCTGATCCACCAAGAACTCATAATACTGCTGGGGGCCTTTCAAGTAAATGCCCGACAAGTTGCCGGGCTTTCCCATATAAGCCGACTCAGCATCAAAGCTCTGAGGAAGGGGAGGCTGCAAACTAGAACGTCATCTGGAAGACGTTTCTCTCCCTGCTTGCGATGCCACGCTTCCCGGCCCAGCCCTGGCTCCCAGCCCAAGACAAACAACAAACGAATTAACTCCAACTTTGATCGGCCTGGCATCTGGCCTCGAGTCAAAGTCGTTTGGTCAAGCTCCCAAAGCAACAATGGCCGTGCCAGCACCAAGCTTGCACTGTAGGTCAACTTGCCCGTCAAGGCGACGGATACATCTGAGAACATATCAGTCTCGCAGATGACAAGACCTCGGTCACGCAAGCCTTCCAGTGCAACAGCATCGAAGTGTTCAAGGTCTGTGGCATACACAGCAGATTCAATGCCGATGGCCCTTGCTCGCAGCAACTCTTTGATAGCTTGCATTTCTCGGTCGCTACACGGAGCACCGTAGACCTGCAGCACCGCAGAGTCGTCCGCATTCTGCACGACATGGGCAGGGGGGTGCAGGATGTCGAGGGCATCTTCCACATGCGGATCCGGAGGCGGTCGACTCAACAAGCAGGCAGGATCGCTGTCTAAGACAATCTCTGGAAGTTTCTGCACTTGCGGCTCCTGCAGCAAACCTGGCTGCGTGGACTCGTCTCCCAGAGCCAAGGCCAGTTCCGCAGGCATAGCACGCCAGAGCAAACAGTTTGCACAAAAGGCTTTCAAGTTCTCTGCTGTGCACACCCGTGCCAAGTCGAGAACCTCGATCCGCACATTCGTGCACGCCACCCGCACATCTCCACCAAGGCCGTGCACGCCCTGGGAAACATCCACGTCGTGGAAACGCTGCACAACCACACAGCTGCGGCGGCCTAGCTTCGGGTCTGTGATGTGTGCAGCAGGTCGCGAAACACGAGCATCCGTTCTTGCTTCTGGCCTGGCATCCAGCACCGAGCAGAAAACCGAAGCACGATCACTTACCCGAGGGTGGACGTCGGCTCGCAGAATAGACAGCAGCACGTCGGTTCTGAAGGATGCGGCTGGGTCTTCACATCTCCGACCCCTGTCGACAAGTAGCTCAAAGACATGCGTGGACACACTGAAAAACACGCCCGTCGCCAAATGGCCTTTCAGCCAGTTCACTACCTGGTAGGAAGCACTCGGAAGCTTGAAGCTTCCGGCCAGTAACAAAGTCTGATCTCTCAAAGTTTGGCGGTAAACGGCATCAGCACGAACAGAGTCCTCGCAATCTTTGAAGTGGTCTTCCTCGCTATACCCGTACAAGCGGGAAAGCCTCTTTGGCGTCTCCATAAGTCGAACCTCTTCGTGAGTGAGCATGTGCTCCAGCAGGCTACTCCAAAGGCGCCTGCTGCGCCAATTGTTGACCAAGAAAGCGAGCTGTTTCTCATCTTCCAGCATCTCCAACACTTGATCTCTGCGCTTGCGGCTGCAGACAACTGCAGGCCCAGCCTTTGTGAGACCACGGTTTGCTGCAACCTTGACACCGACATGCTCTCTCTCCGTGTGTCGCTCGGACAAAGAAACAAAGGCATATTCCTGTACTCTCCAAAACAACGCTGGCCATCGATCAAGGGGCACGTCATCCTCCGAGTTCAGAAACTCTCGGAGCATGCGGCCTGTGTCGGTTGGTCCAAACAAAGCATGTGTAACAGAGTCTAGAGCGCCGACTTGGCCACTGGAGATCATGTTGTCAACGTTCTGAAGATGTGGCCGAAGAACCTTTTTCACTCGGCCCCAAGTCTCGCCCATATACCCCGCAAACGCTGCGGCAAACACCCATGGTACTTGCTGAGCATACGCAAGCTTTTGCTGGATAACGGCAACAAATACTTTGTTGCACGTGTCCGCCATGTGCGCCATCCGACTTGCAGTTTCACTAGAACGAGACAAGAGATGCGCAAGAACACTAATCTCGTTGTTTGTCATGGCATCTTGCAAAGCTCCCTGGAGATTACCAACCGCAAGCCAAGGCAAGCGCCTGCCTTTCCAACAACAGTTTATCTTTTCCCGGTTTTCTGGGTCTGTCAGCTGCTCCTGATGGCAGTGACAACCCTCGAAAAAGTGGGCCAGCCTGGTGGCCTCGGCAGAGAACTGATGCGTCCACACTGCCATGTCGAAATGGCACTCGTCTGCCAACGCTTCCGTCACAGCTCGAATTGTGACTGACGAGCTGTCCCCACCAAAAACAGCTGGGTTCCAATATTTCTTGAAGGTGGGATATAGAGGAACCCAAACCTTCAGCACTCTTGCGAGCGAATCCCACCTCCAGTCTAAGAGGTCATCCATCCGATGCAACAACCGTCTCTCCTCGGGGCTCGCATGCTTCATCATTCTCACAAGAATTACTTCTGAGTAACTCTTTTCTTTGCACACACGGGTGATGCTGTTCAACTGTTTCTCGAATTTTTGCCAGGTTTCAAGCTGCTTCAAGCTGAATTCCAGTGCGTTAAACACTATGTGTAGTGTTCCCGGTATGTGTAGAGCGGAATGAAAGAGCGGCAATTCACGAAAATCCTCCTGTATTGCCTCGCTCGCCAAAGCTTGAGCGCCCACAATACTCTGGACCTCAGAGCAACTGCGGACTGGAAACGATGCTATGCCTCGCTCCGTTCCTTGATCGCTTAAGAAGCCCCGAACTTCCGAACGATACGTCTCAAAGAGAGACGCACCACTCTCAACGGCAATCATATGTACCATCTTGCTTGCCTTCGAAGCTGTGCTTCCTTGTCCTCTCGCAATTGTTGTACACAACATCGAACGCCTCTGGTGTTCAAACCCTTTGAAAGGAGCTACATTTCCACCCGCATCCCTTGGAAGCTCGTCGGAACGATAGAGCAGCAACTCTTCTGTCGCACAAAAATAATCATAATTCGCTTGCGGGGAACTGTCAGGACTGATGTACCTGACAATTCGCAGCGACTTGTCTGCCCCACCACCTGGTGGGGCAAGGAACCGGCGAGACAAGGAATGCAAGGCATCAAGCTTTAGCAAGATATTCCGCACATGCCCATGCGACACTTTCATGTTGTCTGCCAGACCTAAACTATCTGGCACTAACATTCGAAGGACGGTGCGAACCACATCTTGAATGCCTACCGTTGAGCTGAGCTTGTAAGCGAGCTTTCCCAACAGGATTTCTTGCATGGCCGGCCTGCGCACTTTCTTCATCTCGCAGGAGGAAGAGGAACCACTGTCGGCACCATCACTGGGGCTTCCTTCTGCCGCAGCAGGAACGGTTCCGGGCAACTGGTGCCCCAAAGAAGTCACAAGCCCACCAGGAACCACGAACTCCTTGCCTATCTCCATCAAATGCTTCATGACAGTTGGTGGCAAGCGAACCATCCAGAAAGGACGCCCTAGGTAACGCCTCGCAGTGCCTACTTCAGGCTCCGCCGCCTGTCCGTCTGCAAAGCAAGTGTAAAGGCCCTGGCGATCTGCAACGGCTTCGAAGATGACGCTTGGCGCAGCAGCTTGAAAAACCCATTGCGCTTGCCCTGCAGGCAAAACCGCCAACCTGCCAGCCAAGGCGGGCATCGCAGGAACAGGAGTCACCGCACCCTGGTTAGCAGCTGCAGGTGCCCGGCACCAGGCACCTGCCACTGCAGCCTGGGCAGGCCCCAACTGGACAGCTGCCCTGAAACGAAAAAGAGACTTCAAACAGCACTTGAACATCTGGTTTCGGGTTGTCTGGTTCTGGAGGGACATCTGCTTAGCGGCGAAATCTCGATCGCGACGTTTCTGACGCCGAGCTCGCCAAGTATCTTGCTGCTGCAAGTGCTCTTGGGCACCCAACGGCTTGATGCATTTTCCCCCAAGCTCAGCAACACAAAACAAATAATTCCCTGCAGCAGCGGTGCCCAGAGATTCTGATTCGTCGCCACAGGTTTTCGCATACAGAAACAAAACCTCTGCACGGGAAGCATTTCGAAGTCTGTCCCTATATCGAACAGTCCGCAGGGCACCTGCAGACCTGGGAGCTTCCTCGGCCTCTGACTCGGACTCTCTGTCCTCAAGCTCACCGTCCCCAGGATCTGGAAGCCTAAAGATGGCAGGCTCTGCCATAGCACTATGACACTACACAACGAAAAGATCTGGCTTATCTTGGCTTATCCAATGTAACACCTCAAGCAAGCTAGGCTATGCCTACTGCCTACGTCCTCTTGCAAGATTGGATGATAAGTTGTCAAGCTGTCACTGTCACGTGAGTCATGTGCCTGAACTGTGCTGCGATTCGGATTCCCAATCATAAAACAGCCGACAAAGTCAGGAAGATATGCTTGCTTGCGGTTTGCAGTTTGGGTTGGCTACATCACAAGTTGTAGGTTTGTAGCTTTCACGACGATTTTGTTCCAAAACGTGCCGCGTTTTCTTGGGAAGGGACGATACTTGTTTGGAGAGGCTGTTGTTCTTGCGCTGACTGATCGATGGAAAAATAATCAAACCCTACTACAACAAATCATTTTCAAGTCCAGGGCTTGGAACCCATGCTCCAAATGCCCTGAACCCTCTTGCGCGTCACGCCCCCCGGGCCTAGATGAATCACTTATACTACGAAACTGCATCCACCTATGCCCGAGTCTCTGCAGGTCAGCGTCTGAATGGAGTCGTTCAGTCCAACTACCGCCAATGGAACGTGTACATCTAAAGAACATTGGAGTCAGGTCTACGTGAAGGTCGTCCCGGGGAAGAGCCCACCGCCTCCACCGTTCCGGGATTTGGCAGTGCCTAAAAAGGTCAGGGTTGAGGCAAGGCTTGAAAATCTCTCGGCCAACATGGGCAATCAGCCCCTGAACCGGCTTGGAAGCCCAACTGGACAGGGCCTCCTGGCGCAAGAGATTCCTAATGAAGTCCCTCGCAGGGGACAGACCGACCTTGACAGACAATATACGCGAAGGTTCCACCGACCGGCCTACGAATGTCAGGTGGACAAGGGCAGGCCCTCGCCTCAGCACATCCCTCATCCTGGATCTGATTCCCCTGAACTAGAACGGGATGAGGGAGAGCGGAAAGTGTTTGGTGCGATTTGATGTCTACCCCTACCAATCCGAACCTAGAAAAAGCGATGCGGGAGTACCATTTGAGGGTGGAGGCCTCGTCAGCTGGGAGCTGGATGTTCCACGCCGCTACCTGTTGGAGCCGCCATGACGGGGTTTGCACGACCGGGTTCCAGCTAGCAGCCTGCTCCCGAAGGATGTGCCACAAGCGTGTAACCCAGGGCTGACAGCGTTGCTATCAAGCCTAGCAAATGTTTGGCGAAGCTGAAAGCGATAAGCAGTGACCTGAATGAAGTCGGGGCCGCATTCGGATTTGCCTTGAAGTAATCGTAGAGCTGGTGCTCTCTCACAGGCAGGCACACTACGAACTGAAGCTTCCAGAAGTGCACGTATCTGAAGATGGGTCCCACGCGTTGGTGCAAGGTAGCTGTGGCTTTGTCTGCAAGACAATCCTGCACACTTTCCACCAAGCCTCCTGTGGCAAATTTAGGATCGAAAGGCCCCATGGCTTGCTTGGCTACACCCCAGGCGTTAAAATCCAAGGAAACAAGCGTAACCCACTTCTTCAAGGCACACTTCCTATTAGCATCCAGGGCCTTAGACCTCAAGTGAGCATCTCGGGCTGACAAAGGCTTCAGTCCCGCTGCAAGGAATGCTGACTGCGAGGCTCCAAGATCTGGGCCGGAGCTGGAAGAAGCGGCCATCGGCCCTGGACCCGGCGCTGGGGGCAAGAGCCCTGTCGGCCTAGGCAAGAGGCAGCTTCTCCTGAAGAGCGAATGCATCTGTTCTGGAGGGCTCGGGAAGATGCCTACCGATCTCTTATAAGCATTCCAAGTATGAGCTGCATGAAAGGCCACTGCCCGACTGTCGAACTGGGCAGATTCATCACCTTCGCCCATCTTTTCAGCTCTGCTGCCATCTGCCGCTGTCGGCGACAGCGGCGTGCACGGTGGGCTAAGCCCAACGTCGACAGAGGGGCCCTGGTTCAACGCAGGGTCCTGAACCTCAAAGGCCCCACAAAATTTGTTTTCCTCACTCACACTGATTGAGGAAACTGGCAGCGGCATGAGGCCATGAAACAATTCCCACCGGAGTACAAGGTAAAGAAAGGACATGAAAACTAAAGTGGCAAACATGGCAATCGATCCAACAAGAATCGGATAGAGAACATGCCCTCTTTTTTTTTTTGAAACCGCCTTCCCATGGAAGGCTGTCCGACGTTTCATAAAGGTATATCGTGCGCGCTCGACAGAGTTCACATCCGTTCTACTACTTTAGTTGTGCTGGCTAGGCGTGTATCCCGAAGGGATTAAACTCGACTAAGGGAAAGCTTTTTCATGGAGTGCCGTATGCCCACAAAGTCCGGGCAGCAAGTCAAGCAAGCACAACGAGGTTGATGGGTGGTCCAACCGCACCATCAACGAGAACGTAAAGCGATGCATATGCGTAGCGAACAAGCGAACAAAAGCAAGCAAAGAAGTATCAACGCAACGACAAAGAAAGCATTTGCATCTGTGTGTGGCTTGTAGAGCATGCAAGAGAAGCTGCAGCGTTTTAGTAGTCGTATATGCAAGCTGGGCGATGAAGGCCCAGAGACCAGCCCGATGATAGCAGCATACCTAGATCGTAAGGGCAGAGGGCCTGGGGGCGCAATACGACTCGGGATTTTCGGGCTGGTGTGAAACGCACGGTGAAGCACTGCACTCTAGATACGGCTGCCCCGAAGCCGAAACTTTTGACTTTCTTGTTACGGGGATCTTGAAACGTTCTTGTAGCCAATGCCGGTGAGACCGAAAAGTGTGAAATGGGCGGGAGGGTGAGGATTTCGAAGAAAGATGCCTAGCCAGCACAACTGAGCCAAATGTTCGCACGAACATAAAGTAGTAAAACAGAAGTGAACAAGTACACAAACCGTTCTACTACTTTAGTTGTGCTGGCTAGGCGTGTATCCCGAAGGGATTAAACTCGACACACTCCCCGCATACCCGTTCGCGAGCTCACTGAACAGCAGTCGAAAGCATGCAGAGTGGCAACGAACGTTTTGACCACTCTGGCATGGGCGCGAGCGGTCCGTCGAGCATCAGATCGAACGAGACGAAAGAGCCCCGACCAACAGCCCCGAAACCACTGAGCCATCCCGAGAGAGAGCATCAGCGGTCACATCGCTCGAAAGAGCAATCGGTGCAACCTTCGCGGGACCGATCGTCCAAGTCTCGAACAAGTCTTCCCGACTGACAAGACCACAAGCGACTCCCTCTGACAACAAAGGGCGGGCTGGGTGGGACAAAAAAGCAGATCCTTCCCGGACCTTCGAGGCGATCGCCTCGACCCAAAATGGCCACGGGAAGTTCACATCTGAAAAGAACTGAATGAAAAGAGCAGACTGCAGATCGCATGCAGGAATGTGACCCTCCTATCCCAGACCTACCTACCCGTTGATAGGAGAACCACACTCCCCGCATACCCGTTCGCGAGCTCACTGAACAGCAGTCGAAAGCATGCAGAGTGGCAACGAACGTTTTGACCACTCTGGCATGGGGGCGAGCGGTCCGTCGAGCATCAGATCGAACGAGACGAAAGAGCCCCGACCAACAGCCCCGAAACCACTGAGCCATATCCCGAGAGAGAGCATCAGCAGTCACATCGCTCGAAAGAGCAATCGGTGCAACCTTCGCGGGACCGATCGTCCAAGTCTCGAACAAGTCTTCCCGACTGACAAGACCACAAGCGACTCCCAGGCCCAGACCATTTTACGCGAGAGCGGATGGCCATGAGCAGAGAACTGTCTGCCAACCAGCCGCCTCGCCGATCGCGAGGCAATCGCGAGACGGCCAATCAGCGGGGTTAGCATCCGTGGATACACGGTCGATGAAGAAACTAACTCTGTAATTGAGCGAAAGCTCCCAAAAGATCTCGACTAACTCACAGAGATCCTCCTTTGAGGAGTATCCCTTGACCAGAGATGCTTCCACAGACTCAGAATCGATCAGAAGAAGAACATCACGATTCCGGAGGTGATCACGAAAGGTCTCAAGAGCCAGGATCGGCGCAATCATCTCGATCGGAACTATCTGGGTCTTGCGCGGCAACCACTTTGCAGAGATTTCTGCGTCGATGATCTCCGAGAACTGCTTCGGGGTATCCGCACGCCGATCGAACATCACTGCGCCGACGCGATCGGGGCCGGCTTCTTTCTTCCGAGCGTCAGGTGTAAAGCCATCCGTGAAGATCACCACGTCGGCTCTCTTCTGAGCTCTGAGAGACATCTCCCTCGGCGGTCCCGAATTGATCAGGAACTTCCAGTAGATCAACGATCGTCTCAGAGCTTCGTTCAGCTCCATGCGATCTGAGCTGTGATCCTTCGAGTATTGTCTCTCCGAGAGGGGGCGGAAGAAAGCACGACCCACCTTACCCCAGAGCTGGCTAGCCCCGAACATCAGCTTCCTTTGAGCTTGCCGGCGCTTCCAGGGTCGAGCACACCCGAATCCAAAATGGAATCGATCGATTCGGTGAGCTCTTTCTTGCGGTCCTCTTTGATCTCAAGGAGGAACTCGTCCAAGTTGAACGTAACCCCTAAGATCACCGGGGATTCCGAAAGTTGTAGCTTCTTCTGATCGAACGACGCGCCTAGGAAGAAATGGATCTTTTCTGCAACGAGCTTCGCTGAAGACGCAGTCAGATCCGTCTCGAACCCGTACTTATCGTCATAGAAATTAAAAGCGACCATGTAGAAGAGCTTAACAAAAACATCGTTCAGGGCCGCCGATCGGCGGTTGTAGTTGTAGACTGCCGACACGAGCCCGAACGAGTGGCCGATCATGACGAAGAACTTCGGTCGATCGTCGCTGGGGTCCTTCAAACAGATGACACTGAACTTCCGATGCCGAGGGGCGATTGGGAGCTGGCGGTAGGCCTTGCGCTCATCAAGAACCCACCCGCGTAGCGGACGATCGCCCACTCGAGTCCGGAGCTCGCGGACCACCGAGACATTGAGATCCGTGTTCGGGAGCTGCAACTTCTCGGTGATCACCGCCGTCTTATTGACAAGGTTCGAAGTAGCACTGTCGCACCCTCTGACTTTGTTCTTTTGAACCACTTCGAACCGCTGTGTCGGGATCCAGTCCGAGCAACCAAGGAACTCTGTCACTGAACTTTCGTCCTGAAAAGGACCCACGGTCGATCCTTCCATGACATCCTCCATAGTCGCTTGCCAGAGCGATCGCAGATTATCAGAAACCGGCACAGCCTGGCACCGTTTGAAGATCTTGGAACGAAACTCCCAGGCCCTGGACTCAGCTTCGATCGTCACAGGCGATTGCTTCTTTTCGTACGGCGGCCAACGACCAGACCTTTGGATTTGGCCAACGATCGGGAACCCTTGGCGAATGCCCTGCAAGAGAGAAAGATCTTGGCAGCGAGCGGCCGCGAGGAGTTCATCATAGAGCTTGACGTGCGTGCAATGACCCAGCTGGAGATCAGCATAATCTGGAGCACCTCGAAGAAGACGGCGAAGTGCCGGGTCCGGAATGGCTCGGAGCTCCCGGTCTGTGTCCGCCAACAAAGCTACGGCACGAGCGTGCCAGTAGTCGAGCTGCTTGATCCGATAGTCGACCAGCCAAAGAGGGCGAGCCGCGATTCGATCTATGTTTGTGATGAGCTCGAGCGGCACGTCAGGCTGAACTGTACAGGGGTGCGGGATCCCGAGGGCCCAGCGAATTGCCACGCCTGGTTCACACTCGACATCGAGCAACGGCTTGGCCGCACCACGTTTGAGCTGGTAGCCAGACGAGGCGGCCAAGCGAGCTGCTTGTTCTTGCCGATGACCTTTCCAGTTGACCGCCTGGCCGAGCTTGCGCTTGCGATCTTGCTTCGGCGCCACGAGCTCAAAGGAGGCCTGGAACTGGGGCAGGCATGCATGCACGACCTGTTCCACCATCTGTGCAAGAGCAGCACAGAGAGGCAGCGGATATTCCTGAGCCGGCTTGGTCGCGAAGACCCAAGACCCATTTGCTTGGCGAACCTTGCCTTTGAGCGGAAGGTGCTTATGCTTACCTGAACAGGAGCGACGCAAAGAAAGAAAAATCGCATTACTGACCAAGAATCGTGTAGGCTTGCGGGAGCTCGCACCGAACTCACACTGATCAAGGTCCAGGTTGTAGAGATGGAACCGCACCTTGAGCTGTTGAATGTCAGGAACTTGCCACAAGAGACTGGTGAGGGGGTTCTCGAGAGAGGCATCACCACCTGCCACAATCGTCGCCTCGAGCAGATCGATGGAGCGCTGCATGAGTAAATTTGCGCGATCCAGCTGATCTCGAAATCCATGGTCGACAGAGAGCAGACCGAGAGGTTGCGCTAGCGAGCGCAGTGGCGGAGGACCTCCAGGCCGAGAGCGGGCGCGACTAAAAGTTGAGCAAGGGAGCCCCAAGTGCAGAAATGCAATGGCACCCACCCGGCAAAGTAGCAGAACTCGCTGAAAGACCTTGTCGTCGAGCAGATCGACAGACTCATAGACCTGGCCGGAAATCGTGACGTCAATCGGGGGGAGCACGAGCAGGCCGGCCGAGCGCCAATGAGATGTCAGCCGAGCTGTCCCTGCAAATATCTCAAGAGCCCATGGGCCAAGATCCCGAACGACGTAGGGATCGTGCGGCACCTGTGACCAAAACTGCCAGGGCGGAGCAAAAAGAACAGATGTGGCACTCCGCTTTGGAGCCAAAGCATCACTGGCCTTCTGTGTCGATTGAGCCACTGAGCAGTGAGTTGGGGCCGACTGGGCCCCTGATGGTCTACCATGCACTGGGATCCCCAGGGGGGGCAGACCCGGTCCCCCTGGGGCCAGGTTGCCCAATCAGTGGTTGCCATGGTAGGGGTGATCACCCCCACACTGGACACAGATGTGCTTGTTGCGGCAGGCGTCCCCGAAACGGCACCCGAGAGAGCAGTTGTACCACACACATCGGCGAGCGCCCGTGTAGGTGAAGGCCATGAGCTTCTTCCATTCTTTTTCGGGGATACGGGGATCGATGATCGCGGTCGACCTTGGGCGTGAGCTTTGCGCCTGACGGTGGCTTGGTAGGAGCACGGTCACGATCGCGATCCCGATCTTCTCGCGCCTTCTTGAGGAGAGCTTTGGCTCTTTCTCGCCTGGCGCGATTCTTTCGCGATCGCGCTTCTTGCGCCGTTGTTGGAGCTGGTGGCGGAGACGTCGAGCGCGGGCGCTTCGGTGGGAGCGCAGGCTCGCGCTCCGCCTGTTTGAACTTCTCGAGCTCGGCGGTGTGATTCGCCAAGACCTCCTTAAGAGCGGTGGAGTAGGTCGGGAAGAGCTTCCGCTTATCGTTCGATAGCTTATAGACCTTCTTGCGGATCAAGGCATCGGCCGAAAGTAGGAGAGCCAGGCCGTGGTTCTCGTGGCGCCATTCTTCGAGCTCGGCCAGATATTTGAGCGGCCCGGCGTCCACGGTGAACTCGCAGATGTTCAGGTACTCGAGCGCAATGAAGAAGGAGTGAAGCCGATCGATCACGTTGCTCTCCGAAGTGACCGCGACCTTGTTGTCTTGTTGGATAACCTTGAGCAAGTCGTCGGAAGTCTTCGAGAAACCGGTTGACTGCACGAGCTGGTCGGAGCGGGTGCGCATCTCGGCGACCTCATAGAAGGCGACCGCCCCATGGACCATGTAGTCGCGATGGATGCGCTCAATGAACTTCCGGTGCGGCTCGCGCATGTAAGTGGGGATGACGTCGGGATGCTGGTTCACGAAGATCTCGCGGAACTCAGCATGGTCCTCACCGGGGATCTCAGGGATCTTCGATGGATCCTCCTCCATCTTGGCACGGCGAGCTGCGACATGTTCTTGGAGCGTAGAGGCAGACTTCCAGACCGCCGCCAGCAGGGTCAGCGAGAGCTCCTGGTCGGGGGGATTAGCGCCGAACTGCGTGTCATCCCCGACGATTGCCTTGAGAGTCGCCTTGACCGAGGTGATCGTGTCGCCGAGCATGGCCATGCGCTCAATAGAGAGCATGCCTTTGTCCGCCATGAGAAGGCATAGCGGCTCCGGGAGCTTCTGCCGACCGAAGATCTGGCGCAGCGCGAGCTCGGGGACCTTGTCCTTGTTCGGGTAGACAGTGCGATCCACCATGTTCCTGATCTAAGAAGGGAGCCAAAAGAAGAGCTGGCCGCGACCCTCAGCACAGTCGAGCAAAGTAACAGAACAATTGAAGCAGCAATCAGAAAAGAGTTCCCTTTTAGTATTTACGCGAGAGCAAAACGTCTGGCCGAGCTTTAGCGCAGAGCTTGCACAACATCTTCGGATCCGGAAGAACAGAGCCGATGTGCACAAACTCTGGGGTGATCGCGCGTTTACAAGCGATCTCCTCCACAGACTCAGCCGAACAAACATGAAATCTGTACTCATAGCTCGAGCCTTTTTCTGGGGCCTTGATAAAGAACTCCGTCAAAGTAGCCTCGCGATCGTCAGAGTCGTCGATGACGTCGTCCGCCAGAGCACACTGTGGGGTGAAGTCCTTGGAAATTTCCGCGACCAGGTCCTTGATCATAAGGGCTGGCAGTGAGGACCTCGAGCGAGTGTACTTGAGGACGAGCGGGCCCGGGTTCTTCCAATTCGCCTGGACCCCGATCTCCTGCTCCGTACGTTTGCAATGGACCGCTTGATCCAGCATGGTCACACGAGCTGAGTGCCAGGTGAGCTTTGTGACCACGTCGAGGAACTCTTTGGCCACTCCAGCTTCCCGCCCTGCGTGCCAGACCAGATGGTGGAGCCACTGCAACGATCTCGCGTAGTCAGGTGGTGTCTCCCGCCACTTCTCCTTTGTTTCCAGATCTGGGATCCAGAAATCTCGCTCCACGAGAGGGAACTCCAGCTCGAAGAGCTCCAAGCCGACCTTGAACCATGTAGCCCGAGAGAAAGCCACGTCGGGAACAACGAACTTGGTTCCACGACGTTGGCGCTCTGACTTCGTCTGCCACGAGACCCCGAAGAGACCGTCTTGCTTGACCTCAAGCTCGTGGGGCTTCACATGAATGGCATCATCGAACCTTAGTGATGCGAAGATCATGCAAAGAACCCACCAGATAAAGACCCGAGCGGGTCTAGGGTGATCATCGTGTGCGACGAACCCTTCCATGGCAGCGACCAGCTCGACAGGGAAGGGATCCGCTTCCTTCAAAGGCTTGCCTCTCTGGGTGAAGATCTCCTTCTCGAGCGCTTTGATCTCGGCCGACTCGATAGAAGGGAGAGCGATATTTGTCCTGAATGAGACCCAGCGCAACGCCATCCGAAGGGATGGCAGCACCGTTGGTCCGCACTCCATGCCGTCGAGCTCGATGGCATACTTTAGGATCAGATCGTTGGTAATGGGGTAGAACTGCGCTCCCGACCGATGGGCCCACGATTCGAACTTCTCGAATCGGCGAATATGATTCGACATTGTCGATGGAGCCCCTGAAGTGAAAACCAGCAACTGGAGGCGAGCTTTCTCCTCCGGAGAGAGCAGTGAGCAGTCCGTGATCTGGGGCCTTTGGCTTCGCATGATCACCTGCCCGATCAGCGATGGCCTTGAGCCTCTTAGCCCACTTCTGTTTCTCGGCATTCTCCTGATCAAGGAGCGGCGTGCTGGAGCTGCTCATCGGCTTTTTCGCCGCCAAAAAATGCGAACGCCGGGCGCCAAAACAGGAGCCGCCAAAGCCCGAATCGCCATGTCTCGCTGGAACTCAGCGATCGAGCGCGAGCTGCGCTGCCGCGGGATCTTCTCGCAGCGGGAGAACCCCATCTGGTAGCCGAGCGACTCCTCAAAGAGCGTCTCAGCGGCCTTTGCGAAGATGTAGAACTGTTCGAGCATCTGGGGCCTCGCTGCGAACGCCTCGTGAGCCTCAGGAGCCAGCTTCGAGGTCCACTCGTAGACCTTCTGGGCGAACATACCCGGAGTCTCGACCTCCATTGCGAGCACTACCTGCAGATTTGCAAGCTGTGTACCCAGCAGAGCAGACACGAACGCTGCATCGAAACAAGGGTATGCGAGAATTTTCGCCGTCCATCTGTCCGGGGATGCTGTGACCTGCAGCATCGCCCTTGGGAGCAATCTTGAGAGCGAGCTGCTATCGGCAGAAAGAACCGCCAACTGCGAGCTTGCATCACGAGCATCCCAGGAACGACGAACGAACGAGAGAAGGAGAGAGAGCGTGACTTCCCGAGAGCCCCCTATTCCCCCCCCGCCCCCCCAGCACGACAGTTGCTTGCAAAGACAGAACATGAACAACTGCATGCAGAACTGAAGCAGGACCTAACAGAACGTGCCGGACTGAACTTGTGAGCTGCAAGCAGAGCTACTCAGTACACTTCGCGCGACCGAGCGGCTCGACTTTTTGATGCTCTTCCCGAGCGGGCTGTAAGAAGGTAAAGCGACAGCAGGCTACAGGAACTCGGAAGCAAAATTAAATCGCTCGTTCTTGCGAGCTTGCGCCCTGAAACAAAACTGGGCGATCGCCACTTCGCACCTTGATCACGGTGTGCGGTGTGGCTTGAAGGAGGTTGGCTCACCGATCGGCCCAAGCAGATTCTGCGGGTCGTCCTGAGCAGGCTCCGCCTCGATCACCTCCCGAACCGTCACGGTGGAGGTCTGGGCCGACGGAGCCGAGCGGCCGCCCTGCATGAACGTCGACCCTGGGCCCGTCATCTCAGCAAAGAGCGCCGGCGTGAGCTTGGCCGTCGATCGCGAGAAGGAGCGATCGTCCCGTGCCTGATCCCTGACTGGATCCGACACATGACCACGTGTGTCCTCCTCGTCGTCCTGGTTGTAGTTGACCGGATCGACGGCTGAGGCGAACGCCCTGGCCTGAAGATCATCCTGGGCTCGCGAGCGAAGCTGCACCTCGCCCGAACCGGCCGGGACGTCCATCAGAGCACTGGCTGAATCAGCAGCCGAAGACCAAGCCTGCTGGGCGAGCGCCGGAGGCCCGCGAGGAACGGGAGCCACCGCAGCCCCATCATGTGACATCTCGGCGAGCGCCTTGACCGGCACGATCTCCGGCTCCCGCACAAAGAGCTTGCTCTCCGTCTGCACATGAAAATTGCCGGCGTCGAGCCCACCGACAAAGGAGACCAGAACTCCAGCCTTCGCGGGATCGAGCGTCACCGCACCATGCCACCAGTGCGAGTGAGCTGCTGCAAGCTGAGCGAACTGCTCAGTCTGCTCCGGACCCTCGACTCGTGCCCTCTGATCACGGCATCGAGTGATGGTCTGGATCAATGTCGGCCCGCTGATATGCGAGACCGTCAGCCATGTCGCAGGCACTGAGGTGCGAGAGCACTTCAGGTCGATCTTGTTGTTGGCATCGCGAAAGCGAAACTCCACTCGATCTGCATCGTTCCCAAGAGCATCTTCTGAGGAACGATCAGCCACACGGAGCTCGAAACGCGATCGCGCACTGTCACCAGCGACCACGGTGCCCTTTGGCCCGATCGAGTAGGTTCGACCGCCGCACTCGAAGGAGAACACCGAGACCCGCCAGCCTGAGAAGGCCGCGATCACCACAGACAGCCGAGCACGTCCTTGGCGAACGCCTCGGATGAAGTACTCGTCCGCGAACTGTTGCTGGACCGATAGGTCCGTGTCCGCTCGGTACCCACGGAAAATCCAGTGAAAAAGGATCTCATTGCCGTTGTACAGCTTGACATCAGTGTACGACGGCGACGTGTCCCTGAGCACTGGCCACGTGAAAGGCTGAAAAGCCACGTGACTCAAGGCACGAGCTGTGTCAGGATCCCAGCCACCACAAGGAGCACCGGTACGCGAGTCGATCGAGATCGCGATCGTTGCCTTGATCCCGTCGAGCGTATAATTCGCGAAGAGCGACAGGTGAAAGCCCGAGTTGGGCGGCATCACTTGATCCCGCTCTGTCAGAACATTGACAGAATGCGAGCTGTTGGTCATGATTTCACGGACCAACCAGGCCTGAAAAGGCGAAACGATGCGATCATCTCTGTTGTCCACCATGATGATGGAAGTCTTTCGAGCATCGTCCTCGCATTCGGCGATCGACTCGATAAATTCAGGGAGCCGAACGTCGTAAGGGTTGTGGGCAGCTTGAGCTCGCGGGAAATTTCCGCCGCCACCCCTACGATCGTCCCTTCCGCGGCGACCGCCACCAGAGCCACCTTGCCACTGATCACGTCGGCGACCGCCCTGAGCTTGCTCCTGAGCAGGAGGCTGGTACCAACCTTGGTGATCCCCAGGCAGGAGCAGCAGCCATGGCTTCGATCCCCAGGCCCTATCTTCTCCTTCGCCACAAAAAAGCAGATCCTTCCCGGACCTTCGAGGCGATCGCCTCGACCCAAAATGGCCACGGGAAGTTCACATCTGAAAAGAACTGAATGAAAAGAGCAGACTGCAGATCGCATGCAGGAATGTGACCCTCCTATCCCAGACCTACCTACCCGTTGATAGGAGAACCTAAGCGAAAGCTTTTTCATGGAGTGCCGTATGCCCACAAAGTCCGGGCAGCAAGTCAAGCAAGCACAACGAGGTTGATGGGTGGTCCAACCGCACCAATCTAGAACTACCCAGCAACCTCGCTAAGTAAACACCCCGAATTTATGTGAGGTTGGTGGGCACTCCATGCGAGCGAATTTGCCACGGAAGCTGAACAGACGAAGGTGACACACTGATCATTGGCCGCGGTAGCCAAAGATCCTGAAGCGTAGCTGAAATGCGCTCATGCTGCAAACAATCTTGAGGCAATGGATGCTCTTGTGGTCTAGACAGAGCATCTGCTTTGTCATTTGCTTCACCCGGTATGTGCGATACATCAGGGGTGACTCTGTGCACTGCTGCAAGAAGTGAGATCCGCTCCAAGAAAAAGCACAATGGCTGACTGGTTGTCAAGGAGTCGTTAACACCTGATTCAGCACCCGTGTTATCTGAAAGAGCTCTGAGAGTGATTGGGATGCAACTGCATGGAAGCAAGGCAGATGCCGCCAATATCAGCGCTGCCTGTGCGAGAGCTTCATAACACGAAATCTCCCTTGCCATATCAGCTTGAACCCCAATGCCCAAAGCTAAGAAATCAGCGTGAGCAAAGGTTTGTTGAAACCAGCGGTGACCTAAAGAGGGGTGGCGCGCGTAGCTATATGCAGCAATGAGAGCCTTTGGCACTGGCATCTGCACGTGCATCAAATAGAGGAGTGGCAGGCTGCCGCATCGAGCGGAATGGTGACATATGCAACAGCCAATGCTCGAAGATGCCAGGAATGCGCAGCGAGTTCAAGCACAATTTCCGCTTCTTGCTGTTCTGACTAGAAACCCGAAGCCAAACCCTACGATCAGATACCCGAACTTTCTCAAGATCCTGAAGAGAGTGCAAGTCTTGGTGACGTGCCGAAAGCAGTTTGGAGCCGAGCGGTATACCCGTACCTGGCGGTGTCACTGTGAATTGCAGATCCGGCGACAAGTATCTTGCGATTTCATGCCAGCGCTCTGGCGGAATGCTGTAGTTCGTAGCAGCTGGGCTGTAGAGATCGTGATAGAAGGTATGCAGCATGCTCTTCATGACCGGAAAAAGGCTTGTAGCCCACAGTGCTAAGCCAATGAAGCGTTCCAAATCCTTTTTGGTCAAGCGAGGGTTTTTACGCAAATCTTGCACCATGCCCAGCAGTTTCAAGCGCTTTGATTCTTTAAGCAACACGATACCGGCAGAGTACTGAAAGTCCCAGCCTATCCAAGTGACCCGAACGGATATCTGAAGTTTGTGCCAGGAAAAAGGCACACCCATGATCTGCATGAACATGCAAATCATGGCACTCGTTGCTGGAAGAATGGACATCTCCTGAGAAAAGAGATAATCATCTACAAACAAGTGGCCTGTGTGGGCTATGTAGATGAGAATATGAAGAATGCGAAGGATGCACGAGCCGAGTCGCCCCCACCAGTGCTGGGCAAACGTGGCTCCGAACGGGCATGTGCGATAGAAATAGAGGGCATTTGACCCGTCTGGTTCCTCACATGTGAACCCAAGCAATCCTTGTTCAGCATCCTTGACAACGCAGCGCTTATGAGCGCTTTTGATATCTATCGAGAGTGCACCCTGAATCTGCGAGCACTCACGCAAGGGATAGGAATGCAAGACGTCTCGAGCTGAAGGCATGTGCTGCTTCTCAGGCACGGTGCAATTTGCGTTTGTGCCACAAACCGAATTGTCAAGACAAAGCCTTTCTGATCTACCAGGAGCCCTAACAACCGAAAGTTTGCCAAGCGCAACCCCTAGGGGCCAGCGTCGCTGGGCATCGGCCAACGATCCGTTGAATTTGAAGCAAAAACCTTGATCGAGTTCTTCCTGAAGCAGCCTGCGAGTAACAGAAGGTTCCACCGTAGCAGAGCGCCAATTCTGCAAATGAATCGAAAGAGGTATGTCATCTAAAGATTCACGAGTGTTGGGCCAAAAACTATGCGAAGGCGGGATGTCCGACTGGAAGCCTGTTGGCACGCGTGCTTTCAAGGCTGGGAACAATGTTGTATCAGCGTCAAAGCATACTTGAGCAACAGCTTCCAAGGCATTCAAACAGAGAGGCTGATGTTCCCTCTGTAACCAGGCATCGGCCGGAGCCGAGACGCCCAATGCCGAGAAGAAACCTTCCCTAACCGAAGCAACCTCTGAAGCTGAGAAAAGCGGTGCTTTGCTGGGCTCATAGCGACGCTGAAGCAGGCGGGAGGGACCGTTCATAGACGCAGTGGCCTTAAGCAGGAAAGAGCGCAGGTTACGCAACAGATCTGGCGTGCGGGGAGCGCTCCAGTCAGCGTGCGAATGACGACCTGCCCCATCATGAACTGCATATGGTAGCTGATCCATGGGCTTACGTGGCACCAGTGTGAGGGCCTCTCGCAATGTCAATGCAGGGCCTGGTTTGTCCAGGAGAACTTGAATCTGAGCCGCAAAAGTGGTTGCAAGCGCCTCTGGATACTGAGCTGTAAGCCTGCTTCTGAACACGCCAGAGCTGTCAAGACCGCGCATAACTTGATGTGAATCTCGCCCGTTGTTCAACATGACCGTGCCCACCTGCTGAATAGACTATGGACACACATTTGCAGAAGCGAGACAGGATTTCATGGCTTTCCTGAAGCTTAGCGAGATCCGAAGGACCCAGGCCGGGTACTCCATCCAAGTATTCCGGCGTGCGAAGCGGGAAAGGCGGCCCACCTGAAAGCTTCAGGCGCGAGTAATGCGAGCAACTTGGAGCTGCCGCGCAGTATCCCACAGCGCCTGAACCGCAAATGAACAGAAGCTGCTCAAAGAAATCATCTTGGAGCAAGTCAAAAGCTGGGTCCAAAAGAATATCAATGGAAAGCGTAGCGAGACCACACGCCTCCACAGCACATGAAAGTGGTTTACGCACACCCGAGCATAAGTCGAGGAAAAAGCGCTGAGGGATGTTCGCTAGAGCATCCAGTGCATTCGAAGAGCTACTTGGGGGCGGGACAGGCAGAGGGGGCCTTAGGGAGTGGTGTCTAAACCCGAAAGCCGAAGGTTGACCCCAATTCACAGTAGACCCTGAAGCGGCTGGTGGTGGCTCGGCCCGCTGCAACATCAGGGGGCGCTCAGAAGGCACCTGGGGCGAGGATTCGAGGATAGGGAAATTGAGCGGGCCAAGCAGGGCATTGTCACAGTTTGCCATAGTGAAGGCGGTCAGGACCCATCGTTCCCCACAAAAGGGTTCTGTCATATGCCAAGAATGTGCCGGAAACTTGATGGGGTTTTCTTTCGTGCTAATGATTTTTCCTTTAAGCGAGGTGTTAAGCATTGGTATGAAGCGCGACTGGTCGCCTGATGCATCCTCAAGCCAAAGCGAACCTCCAGAGAAGGGACCCAAGCTAACCGAAAGATTGAAAGACCCCGGCACATTAGCTGTATCTCTGTGAGCAGAAGTGACAACATTCTTAGCCACGCACAGCGCATTCCAGGAATCAGCTGGGAACTGTAAGCGCAGAAAATTATTGAGAGCTTTGCAAACAGACGGCAGAGCCCGAGACACACGAGTGAGTGCCGAACGATCGCTGACCTGGCAACCAAAGTTCCAGTAGCCTGATGATACAGAATTTGCCGAAACGACCGGGCGAGACTGCGAGCCTGGCGGTGGCCAAGAAGCTGACTGAAGTAGCGCTAGGCATGAAGCGTAATCATGAACATGTACTGCAGAAGCAGAGGCTACCGAGGTGGCCGAGACTTGCAATGCACCGCTGTGTGTACTGTGAAGCGAAGCTGCACCCTGACGCATGCCCGCAAGATGCGGAGCATTGGGAGCAACATGCTCCGATGCTAGGCCCGACCCGGGCACCACGCCAGGAAAAGATTCCCTGCTAGAAGCACCTCCGAACACCGGAGAAGAAGCGGTGACGCATGATGATGGAAGCAAAGCTGAGTGCTGTGTTGCCAAAATGGCTGGTGAAACCTGGCCCCTGCACGGGGAAGCAAAAGCAGGCCGAGAACTCGCAGGAGTCGCAGGAGGTTGCAGCGGGCCCTGACCTGAAGACTGAAAGACACTAGAAGTACATGAATTCGACGCTGCCAAGTGTGATGAACAACGTTGCGAATGAACTGAAGCGGCCGGCCCTAAGGAGCCAGCCGGCCCGGAGGCCGGTGAAACTAGCACATTTTCGGATTGTCAGTGTGAAGTCGAAGCGTGGTTTAGGGCATTGTGGGCCTTGCTCATGCAGGCAGAGCCATCGCCCTTCGGGTACGCACAGTTGTGCAAGAATGCACAGCTCGCACCCCTGCTGCATTTCCCGGATTGCCACTGCATGCACAATTGTTTGGTCTCGCCATTGACTTGAACATGCTTCACCCAGGCACCTGCTCCCCCTTTGCCCGAGGGTTTGCCTTTGGAACCCTTATCCTTACCGGAGCTTTTGCCTTGGCCGTCAAGGCTATAGCCCTTCCAATGCTCCGACATGAAGCGACCAAGCCCCTTGCCCTTGATGCCTTTCTCAATGAAGCGCGGGGGCGGAGGGGGCCTAGCCCTTGCCTGAAGCAAATTTGACATGTCACCCCTGATTTCGGTATACTCGAAGATTGCGTCGTTCAATTGCCAATCCTTCTCAAGAACAAGAGCATAAATCCCCTGCCACAATTTGCAGTCAGCCTGCTGGGCCTCTAGCATTGTAGGAGCTCGCAATCCTGATGAAGCTTCGTGGCGCTGAGACAAAAGATGCATGAACTTGCTGCTATAGGCTTTGAGGCGAGCCAGGTGACAAGAGCCTACCATGGCCAGTGCAACGTCGTGGATTGCTAAGATCCTCTGCACGGCACTGACCCCCATGAAGCTATCGCCCACCTCCAGCGTGGGAGGCTCATCAAGAAGCAAACTGGAAATGCCGAGAGCTTCCAAACGCGGTTGCTTGGCGGGCCTACTCAACTGAAGCTCGGCCGCTTTCTCTTCTGACATGCGATGCTTCCAGGGGATCCACTTGTAGTCTTTCTTACTTTCTTGATGAGCAGCTAGAGATACCAGGCGAAGCGAAGGCATTGCGCATGGAGACAAAATCTCGCTCGTGTATGCAACAAGAAAGGCTTTCTTGTACTCCGTAAGCTTCAAAGCTGTGATTTTTTGGCGCGAAGGTTTCTACCCAAGAGCTAGTCTCCGAAGCGGATGTTGGACCTGCAGGCGGGGCCGAAGACGCACTGCTCGACAACCCAGCCCACACTGCTCGAACTTGCGCAATCTGAAGACGGGAAAGCTCTGAAGAACCAAATATTTCTGGAATGACTTTCTCAAGATCAGCTGGGGAATCCGCCGCATGGCGGAAAGTGGACAAAGTCCACCCCGCATCGGTTGCCACCTTGATGAGAGCTTCCGAGAGGCCTTCAGCTTTAAGAATATCGCTCAGGGACATGGCGCAAGACTACCCCCTAGGCTAAGAAAGCACTAGGAACCGAGGGAACCCGAGCCGAGACTACAGGGACGCGCGTAAAGGCCTAGGCCGACAGCTTGACACAAGTACGCATATTCAGCAGCTTACGGCCAGTTCGGCTACCAGCCATGCAATCCGACCCAAGCCCAGGATAATGGAAACGCACAAATGCAGCCCAAAATGCTTTCTGAAGCCAGGAAAGGCAAGCAAAAATGCGCATATTCATCGGCTTGACCCGAAGCCCAGCAGCCCAAGGCTGAGGCCCTGACCAGAGCCTAAGACAGCAGCACAACAAGTGAAGCCCAACCGCTTCGAAAACCCCGGAGGAGCAACCCGGTTGCAACCTGCACCCATATTGACATTTTGCGACTGCGCACGTGCAAGGCAGCCGATGCTACTGGTACAGCGGAATTCTGAGACGGTGCCAAAAGTAATCTGATGTCTGCATTCCCGCACCGATTGTACCAGATAAAACCAGTCTGCAAAATAGAACCGAACAAAGCGGGATGTGTAGGGAAGCCGCACCAGCCTGAGCAGCTGTGCCCGACGATCAGCGATTGTTTCCTGCAGTTCCATGCGATTGCAGAGCTAACCTGAGCGTCACAAGAAGCAGCAACGTGTTTGAGCCAAACGACCTACTCCGTAATAAGTGTGCAACACGAAGGACTGAAGCAGACGCACAAGAGCACGCAAACAGGAGAAACTGCATGGTTGTTTTAGCACCTGCGCAAAATGCGACTCACTGCTGAAGCTGGCCATATGCAATGCAGCATGCCTTACGCTTGCAAAGCTGAAGCTGAGGATTGAAATCCGAAGAGATGCGAATGTGATCAGCCGGAAGCGAAACCCCACATGCTGGCCTGACAAATGCACCATCATAAGGAATACCTTTCGATGCAGAAGCACGAACCAACACATGCTGGATGTTCGTCAATGATCCGAAGAGAAACTCCTCCGCGCCCTTCATCCGCCGAGCTGTCGCCCGACTCCTCGTCGGAAGACTGGATATCCCGTAACTGAAAAGCCGGCACTTGCTTCTGCTGCTCCTGCGAGAAATTCTCCTTGGAGGGAAGATCTACAAAGGGAAGTCTATTGCCAGAGCGAAGCGAGAAATGCCGAAAATAATGCCAGCTGCAGGGCCCAACCTCTTTGGAGTAGTTTTCCAACTGGACGTCCGGTTCATCCATCGGAGATTGCGCTCCCCTATGTAAGGGGGTCATGAAGCGAGCACCCGATCGAACAGCATGCTGGATTTTCATCTGTGCCCTGAGGGAGGGGACAATATCGTCCCTGCTATAAAGTTGGCTCGAAGAAAGCCGATGATGGCCTTGGCAAGACTTCTCAAGCTGGGATACCTCCGGTCGCTGGCCAGACCATGACAGCATTGTAGTTTTGAGAGAGTGTATTGTATAATTTAGCACCGGTGAACTTACTGAAGAAGGCCTGCTACTTTTCCAGGGTAGAGTTATCACGTGACGCAGATGGCGAAGCGCAGCAGCGTAGCTCATCGGTTGCAATGGTAAAAGAATATTGCCTGAACTGTCCAGCGAAAGCAAGAGGCTTGAGGGCAAAGGGACCCCAGAGTGAAGGGTAAGATGCTGATGTACTGCATTGTCCAGCGCCTGCAGAAAACGATGGCACCACGAGTGATTGCCGTAACTCAAGAATCCATGGCACAGCAACCCGAATGGTTGTCCAAAACTGGTGGTCTTCGTTTGGAAACAGCTCCCACGCAATGATTGCCCATCGTAAGCCAAGGAAGTAAAGTGGACCCTTTGGCCGTCCATAAATCTCAGATATGCCCAGATGAGCACCAGGAAGGATCCCAGCAGCAGGATCTCGGGATCGGAGGCCTCTCGGTCTCGAGAGAGAATCCTTCTTTCAATTTGGATGACCACATAGAGTGACAGTGGCACTGCTTCCTTCCTTTCGCGAGGAAGCTTGCTCTTAAGAAAACTGGTGATAATCTGCGAATGGCTCACTGAGAGACATGCCACTTCAAGCATTTTGTAAACCCAGCGAACAGCTTTGATCGCAGTAGAAGAGTGAGAACCAGCTTCAGGATCACTGTCAGGATCAGAGCCACGAGCCAAACTCATCACAACCAATACATCAGCCGTTTGAAATGAAGTGAGAGATTCAAGTGGAATCTGCATATCGCGCAAAGTGGCCAAGAATTGCTTGAACGCAGAGCAGTAACGAATCACTGTCGATGCCACGCAAAGGGAGAGCAACCGAGGCAAGTGATCTTGCTTGCTCCCTGCGAGGCCCTGGCCTATGACACTCAGAGACCCCAGCGACAAGATGATTGTTAAGAAGGCTTGCCTAGCGATTGGAGACTGCGAAGCATTCACACTGATGCCCGCTTGGGAGCGTTGCTTCTCGGAAGGGGCAGGGCCTATCCTAGAACCCGAAGACTTAAAAGCGGCAGCGGCTTTCTGAAGATCATCAAGCTCTGAAGAGGAAGCCAAACCAAAACCCAAGGAAACCCCAAGAGAGGACCCAGGCTGGTTATTCAACGCTGAGGCCGGCAGAGCATCAGGCTCCCGACTTGTCGGAGGCTCGGGAAGTTCCAGGCCTTTGGCGGGCAAGGGCGGGGCTGAAGTTCTAGGCTGAGGTGTTAGGGCCGGCAAGGCGGCACTTGAAGCGGGCAACTTCGGGAAGGTATGCTTTGAAGTGCAGTCGGGATCAGCGGGGCGCTTCATGCTCACAAGCCTGCTGTCTCAAGAGCTGCCACTCTAGCACGCAAACCGTTGATCTCGTCCCTAGCTTCTTCAAGCGCCCGCAAAAGCAACAAGCTGCAGCGATTAAGGCGGGTGATCTCACGCTCACAGCGGCTCACACGCAAAAGAGCACGCTCTACCCTTGCAAGACGCCTGCCGAACTGATTCAGCCACCGACAGACCCAAATCAAGATAATGCTGGTGACCAACACTCTGAACCGAAAGGGCATCCACTGTGGACGCTAGCTCCGCACTTGAAGCCATGGGCCCACTCATGGGGCAGATGCTCCCCCCAGGCCGAGAGGATACTACAAAAGAAGGTTGTGCAAAAACTGTTGTCAAGCTGTGAAAGTTAATGCTGCCAAAGATGTTGTAAAACGATGTCCGCAACGTGAAAGTTAAAGCAACGCATGTCATGAAAAGCGCATTTCGAAGAAAGATGCCTAGCCAGCACAACTGAGCCAAATGTTCGCACGAACATAAAGTAGTAAAACAGAAGTGAACAAGTACACAAACCATACCGTGATGACATGCAGCAACCTGGGCACCAAAAGAGAGGGTGCTGGCCACCCACTGTTGCATGGTCTCCGTCAAAAAGGTCATGGATGAAGGAGGCTGCTCAAAGACGATGCAGCCTCCGAGAGCCGCCACACTTGAGAGAAGTTCCCGACATCCATCATGAAGTAAGGCACTGTTCTGGGCCACCACGGATTGATGCCAGTCGTTGGAGAGACAGCCGAGCGGCTCCGCCGGTGTGCGGCACGGGGGTGGTCCACCCGGCCTAAGTTTGAGAACGCTGAATTCTCCACAGGGCGGAGAAGCAATGGCCGCTCCCACCACGCCGCTAGAACAGAGCGCTGTAAGTCTAGCAAAAAAGGCATCGTCCAGAAGATCCAAATCCTGGCAATGAATGATATCAACCGGTTGGAAGCAATCTTTGCCCAAGGCTTGCATAGCCGCGCTCACAGGAGCCGTAGCACCGGAGCAAATATCCAGGAAGAAGCGCCCGGAGCTGCTTTCACACGCAAAATCCGAATCGGGAAGAGGGGGCAGTTCCGGGCAAATACCTGGCCTAAGCGGGTTGCCAGTGCCGACCACACTGCTGGAATTGGTCGATGGTAGCAACGCCAGCTGTTCCTCAGTCAGAGCAAGAGCGCGTGGAGCAATGAGCAAGGCCGCCTGCATAACCGAAGGGGAAGGAGGTCTAAACCCTAGGGAAAGGAGGGAGGCGGCAGTTTCAGCGGTGAGCGACTCGCAAGCTCGCAGTGTGTAACCCACTAAAACCAAACGGCGACCCTCAAAGGGCAGAACTTCATGCAAGCAAGATGATGCAGTGAATACCACTGGGCCTCGACACACCGGTAGGGAGACAGCCGGATACCCGGTGCCGTCATGCTCCATCATATCAGCCCCGGAGTGGTGCGCAACCCGCAGCTCACCACCGGAGAAACAAGAAATGGGAATGACCACATTTGGCAGGTCCGAGTTGGCTGTGTCACAGTGCGCCTCAGAGGCAATGCCGTCGATCAAGACGAAAGAAGAGTGGAAAAATCCTGGTGCCATAGCAGAAATTAGCGAATTCAGAACTCGCACAGACAAAGGGTGTGATCCGCACACCTTGCGCAGGCCGACCTTAACTCGATGGTACAAACCTGCCGAGACCGAAGCCCCGCTGGAAAACCGATCATCAAGGTCTGGGGCTTCTTGCAGCAAAAGATCAGCGAGCCTCTCAACGCTGTTGCACGACAGGGCCACTGATTTGGACAAAATTGAGTTTGCGAAGGACTCAGCGTCCGACTCAGGGGTCTCACGGACCGCAGGAGCAAAATCAGGCGGGGGATCAAGGTCCATGCCATGCTCCACCGCTGCCCGTCAATGGGGGGCAGCATTATGCGCGGAGGCGGAGTGGGCGGCCCCACAGGGCTTCCCATCAGCCCCGAGGATCGGGCACTTGTGACTGAAACGGCATGATTTGTTTCTGCACTTATCCGTGTGACCGTGTGGTATCGGATACAAGCGCCGACCCCGCCGATTTGTCGGGCCCAATTGCTCGGCCAGTTGCTGATAGAGATACGGTCCTTGGAGGAGTTAGCGTCCGCACTCTTACGCGGCTTGGCCTTGCCCTTTGCTTTGGCTCGAGGATTCGGATGGGGCGCAGGCGGTGGCTCAGTGCGCTGGCGTTTGCTGCGATGCTCACCTCCACCCTGGGGCATCTTCGGCCGCGGACCCAGAGCGTTGTGAAGGTCCGAACGGACATGTGTCAGCTCGGAGACGCAATCTTGCAATGACCAGCCGTATTCTTTCTGCAAGGAGCAGATGGCACTCCAAAGTACACGATCAGCATCCATGGCCTCAGCCAGCGTGGGTCCTCGCAGGGAGCGGTCAATCGGGACTGCTGTCGCCAGGCTCACAAATTTCTCCGAGAGCTTCTTCAGAGATTCAGAGTCAGGAGGTGGCAAGCGTCGAGAACAGCTAAGGCATAAGACATGCGGTCTAAGTACCGACGAATCACTGATTCAAGGGGAAGGTTCTGCGGAACATCCACCACCAGCTCGTCCGAGACAGGACCGAGCAGGGACTGTAGCATCTGCGAATCAGTGCGCGGCTTGCGTCGCTCTGTGAGGGCCTGTTCATCCAACTCACTCGTCCGGAGCCTCCAGGAAATCCAGGAGAGTTGCTTAGAATCGACCGCATCCTTGACTGCATTCAAGAAAGACAAGCTTGGCATAACCTCAGGGCGAAGCAGCTCCGAAGGGTATTTGCGCGAGAACTCCACCACAAGCGAATTGACGTCAGCAGCTTGAAGTTTAGGTCTGGCCGCTGCCGGAGTCGGTGCCGCAGGGGATGAAGCACCAGCAGGCCCTGCCAGGTTGACACACTCTTTAAGCACCCGACGAAGAGCAGCCGCCCTCCGGAGAGAATATTGGGACCGTCGGGTCCGTACCTGCTGCTCTGCCCAGTAACGCTTCAACGAACGCCCCCAAGTCATCCAAGGAAGGGAGAGCATGGGCCAGGAGGGCCATGGTGTTGTAGCCTGCGTCATGGAGTTTATCCTTGACCACATCCGGAACCGCCCAACGAGCAAGAAGGCCCGTGAAAGCTGCCGGATCATCGAGCATGACGGAGGATCCTGCCATGGCTTTGCTCAGGCTCAAGTCCCTAGCAGCCAAACGCTAGCAACCGAAAGTGCCAAAGAAGTACAGCCAAACATTAACGCAAAGCGGCAATCCCAGCTTTTGCAACCTGAGGGTGAGTGGGAGGCAAACGGCCGGTTGGGCCGGGCTCGTCTGGCTCACTGCTTAGAGCCGCGCAATGCCAATCGCACTGCAACCGGCAATCCAAACTGCACCGGAAAGCGATTCCGGCAAGTCACGGGCAAGAGCGGCTCCGACCGTGCGCGAAGCCCAAGGTGCAAGCGTGCAACCCCAGGCAGGCGGCGACGCCTGGAAACCACGCCCGAAAGGAGACTAAGAGTCCAACAAGGATGCAAGTGCGGGGTCCTTCCCACACCCGTGCTTCAAGCACAAACGTGCACCCTTCGGGATCTCAGATGTCCGAACTAACGCTCCGATTGCCAGATTGCCTCTTATGGAGCAACCCGGTCGAAGAGGAACATCCCCGACTGCGTCCGGAGCTGGTCGGAACTGACAAGCGGGGTGATCTGCCCGGCAAGGCTTGGCAAGATGCACAATTGACGTCATCTGGGCGGCCTTTAGCAGGGAATGAGGGAATGAGTGGGGCACGGCGCCAGCCCCGATCTTAGCTTAGCACTGGGGCACTGCTTGGATGCGAAAGACATCGGCGACAACTCGCACTTCCTAGCACCGGGCACCGCTGCGAGGCCAAACCAACGGCAACAAATCATACTTCTTAGCACTGGGGCACCACTTAGAGGCCAAAAAACGGAAACAAATCGCACCCATGTACAAGTCCAACGGATTTAACCGCTACCACTGCCACTGCCATTCCACTACCCCTACCACTGCCACTACCACTACCGCTACCCGACTACCGCCACCAGGCCTACCACTACCACGATGACGACTGCTACTGAGTACTCAATTAAATAGTAACATGTGAGTGGAAAGACCTTCATCAGTGGCCTTTTTCGGGCTTCAATTCCAGCTAAATCCCTCCCAGACGCAAGTCCAACGGGGGGGACTTTAAATCCGCTGGACTTGTGTCTGGGAGGCAGGGGCCGAGCATCATGTGCATCAGCAGGTCTTTTGGGGGTTTCAAACCTCCTCAAATTCAAGTCCAACGGATTTTAAATCCGTTGGACTTGTACATGGGTGCGATTTGTTGCCGTTTTTCGGCCTTCAAGTGGAGTCCCAGTGCTAAGAAGTATGATTTGTTGCCGTTGGTTTGGCCTCGCAGCGGTGCCCAGTGCTACGAAGTGCGAGTTGTCGCCGATGTCTTTCGCATCCAAGCAGTGCCCCTGCTGCTGCCCCAGTGCTAAGATCGGTGCTGGCGCCGTGCCCCACTCATTCCCTCATTCCCTGCTAAATGCCGCCCAGTCATTGGATTAAACAAAAATTCAAACTCTTCTGGCTCACCAAGATCCTGCGGTGAAGAAACCCTGTCACCGGACGACACCAGTTCCCAAGCTGCGGCCGGAGCCGCGGATGTGGACTCGACCTCGGGAGCCGCAGGAGCATCATCTTCGGAATCAGAGCTCGAATCTTGATCGAGAACCAACGGCTCTCTGTCGTGGAGCCTGGGTACAACCGAAGAGGAACGAACATCCGAGGCCACCGGCTCCAAAGCGGGCAGAGAGAATGCGACGTCGGGGAGTGGCGGAGCACCGCCCCTGAGGGCCGGCCGCAGCGGCCGGAATCCATTCGCAACTGCCTGGACGATAGAACACTGAAGCGAGAGAGGACCGGAAACATCATCTCTGCCGTATAACCGGGTCATGGCGTGACCCGGCGGCGGCGGTGGTGTCCTTGCTCTCGCCGCAAGGCTTCGTCCAGCAAGAGCTGCTTAGCCAAGGATAAGAAGGTGACCTTGGCACTGTGCACGCCAATGAGGGACAAGTCCGGCCGTTGGTCCGCCGGATAGCTCTCATAGCATATCGCCAAAAGTCTGCGGATCAGGACCACCCCAGCAGCACGGCTCAAAGGAGCCAAGAAAACAGGAGCACGTTCATCCGGTTCCAAGTCGGCCACGCCACCAGAAAGTCGGGCTGAAACCCTGGACGAGCCACCGAAGTGCCGGTCACCGCCTCCTGGACCAGACACAGCCAGACCTGGCCCCAGCCGGGGACCGATTGAGGCCGAGCGAGAAACCTGGGAGCCCACTCCCCACGGCATGGATCGAGAGGTGGTTTTCGTCCTTGTAGTGTCCCAACCAAATGACGAAAGAAAGCGGGATGGGGCCGTTTCCCTGCGCTGAACCACATTCACCGAGAATTCATCCTTGCAGTTTCAAAGTTGGATTGGAAAGCCACATAACACTCCACGGTGGGCTGGTCAAAGTTGGGTCAACATTGTTGCAACCTTTAAAGATTTTGTTTGAAGACAAAGTTCCTCCGCAAAACCAATTCCAAATCTCTGATCCAGACTTAAAGCTGAGTGTCCAGTCTCTTTTGCTTGCCTCATGCAGCGTGACAGCATCTTAAACGAATTTGGAAATGCTGAGCAGTCTTGTTTTTTTTGCTTTTGCATTTATCTTGTTAAAGTTTGCTGAGACAGCGTGGTTTTTCTACCTGTGTTCAAACAAGCAGCCAGTTTCGTTTGGAACCTTTTGCTCCAAACACACAAAAATAGTTTACAGTGTTTGCGCAATGCGGAGAAACGTCAAAATGCAATGGTTTTTCATGGTGACTGGCTTCCAGTTTAAAGGTGCAAGGCTGTGTGGAAATTTTGGCAATGTAATCGCTTTTCTGGAAGATGGCTGTTGCAGTAATGGTTCATTGGGCCCAAGGCAGTCAAAACAGCTTCTTTGCTAATTTTCGCATGCACAGTTCATGTTGGAGTTTTTCTTGCCCGTTTTTTCAGTGTGCAGTGCGGTGCATTTGCTTGGGCACTTGAGAGGGGTGAACACAACACGTCTTGGAGAACGTGAGCTAAAACTTTTGCGGTTGGTTTTCCAGACCCCAAGATGTTTCTTTCCAAACCCCGCAATCTTTTTTGCTTTTTGTTGACAGCCGGGTCCAAAAAAAACTTTGATCTGTTTTTTTTCGACCCGAGGAAAAAGATAAGTTGGAGTCAGTTGGAGGGCGGAAACAAAATTCTTTGTTGTGTGTGTGTTTTCACTTGTACTTGTTACTTGCTTTGCTTTTACCTCCTTCAAACGATATCGTGTGGCTTCTCCTTTCTTCGTGTTGGAAAACGTTTGATTGATATTTTTCGATAACATAGTTTGATTTCTTTCGTTCGCTTTTCAGCCCCCCTAAAAGCGATTTCGTGCTTCTTCTTCTTTGTGGGTGTGTGTGAGAAGTTATAGTATGGTTAATTTTGTGCGGTTATTCATATTGTGGCGCTCTTTGTTGTGGTGTTTGATACGTCATGTATGCGTGCTTCTATCTTTGCTGAGCTCATTGCTACGTTTCGGCGTTTCTTTCCAAGACTACGTGCTTCTTGTTTTTACTCTTGTTGGCAGGTTGTAGCACTTCCATCCACGCTTAATTGGCAATTCAGCACTAGGCCACTGCGCTCTGCGTTGGCTGTGCCTGCATCTACAAACCTCCTCTCCTTTTTTTCACTGTTATCAGATCGGTTCGCTATGTCACGGCGAAGCTTCTTACCATTCTGCTTCAGGTTCAATCGGAAGCGTCCAAACAGTGCTCTTAAGGAGGATCCGATTGTTAATGCCGTCATCGGGACACACTATGGTTCAGCCGGCCTGGACTTGTTTGTGCAAAAAACGGAAGTTTGCATATTTTAAGTCTGAAGCGTTTTCGTGCAGCTTGTTTAGGTGCTGGAAAAGATTTGTTTAAAGTGGTTTTCATTTCGTTAAATGCGCTGGAAGACAACTCCAGTGGCAAATCTTTCTCTTTATTTGGTTTCTAGTTTTATTGAAAAGAAGATTTACCATGCTGTCGAATTGGAATTGCGGATTTGGTTTTGGAAGATTTGGAAGCTTTGTTCCAACTTCGCAACGCATTGTAAATCGCCAAACACAGGTGCCGCTACCAAAGCTCAAGCGTGCATTAAACGCATCCGAAATCCATTTTGTGCCAACAGACAAGAAATTAGAAGGAAGCTAAAACGTGATTTGGAACGGCACTTGTGTTTGTTTTTCGAGTCTTTGGGCAGGCTTTGCGCCATCTCCAGCATTTTAGCAGTTGTAGTAACAGTGACAATGCTAGCGTTTGATTTTTTGTCAGTTTTTTGCTTGACAACATTGTGAAATCGCATTTGAAGGACTTAGTTTTCTGCTAATATCCGGAAAGCAGATGCATGTCATGTCTTTCTATGGGCTTCTTGAAAAGGTTCACAAATGACTGAAAAGAAAAGGAAAGACTTTGACGTTACATGGCTTGCCGGGGCTCCGAGTCGCAGGAGCTTTGATTCGTTTGCTTGCGACATTCGAGATGGACGCGGAGAATTTGCGAGACAGCACCAAGATGCAACAGAAATGGTAAAATTCAGGTTTTCGAACAGAGCATGGATCGGTTTCCAGTTCACATGCGCTTCAAAAGTTGATTTTCGCGGGCGCAGGGAAAAACACCGGGAGTCTAATCAGTCAAGTTTCTTGCAAGGGAGCATGCATCGGTCAGCACGTTTTTTTTTTTTACGAGATGAAAGTGTGTCATTGTCGCTGACGAAAGAACGATAACAACACGAATAATTGGTGTTGAATGTTGTGATTTGACCGTTGTGGTGTCAAGGAAAGGCAAAGCAGATTGTCAATGCAAGACGCGTGGTTTTGCATGTTGTGAGCAAGGCAAGTTTCGTTGAGCACAATCCAAAGTCAGCTTGACTGAAATGCGCAGATGTTTGGTTGCATGCTGGCTCAACTGCAAGTTTAGATTCAATGCTTGGAGCTAGGCAGCAAAGGCAGCAGTCGAGTCCTTGGTGACACGAATTTCAATGCTTGCAGCTTGATTGTTATTCCACAACAATTTTCATGCGGCGTTGTGTTGTTGGAAGAAGGACGTAAATCGCAAAGTTGATATTGGGTGATACTCATCGCAGCGCTGTCGGTGGTTCATGATTGCGTCCACAAACACGGTTTCTCCTCCAAAGGCAGCTTCTTGGTGCAAGTCGTCCCACCGTCGGCACTGAACGTGTCGGTGAGAGGTGTTTTCCGTCCGAGTTCAGCATGGACGTTCGGAACAGCATCTTTGCCACTGCTTGCTGCCAGTCTCGATGCCACTTGGTTCGTACATTTCGCCAAAAATTACCAGATGAAAAAGACTGCTCATCCCGACTTGGAAGGCTTTTCGGATACCAGAAGCTTGCCAATCTTCCACGGCGTGGAGCTGAGCTTGAATTTTGGAAGTGGCGGGGTGACCTTTTGGACAAACTGCAGCTTGAAGGAGGTTCCGTAAGTCTGATGCCAGGTTACGGAAATCATTGCGCCGAGGAGGGCGAGTTTTCCGGGATATTTCGAAGGCCACCCAGCATCAGCATTGAATATCATTGCTTGGAGTTCGCGAGCTTCCATTGTGATTATGGCTCAAGATTATACCTCGCAAAATTATACTACTCAGGTAACACGGCATGTAACACCACTGCAAAGATTAAACAACAGTTCATGGAAGCCAAGCGAGCTCGTTTAGCAGACAGCGAACACCGGCACGAGGTTGGGTGTCCGGCGACGAAGCATCAGGTGTGTGCCGTTGTATGTTGGCATGTCCGCTTGTTTCAGGAAATAGCCAATCGAGTGGAATTGGCAGCTGCTGGGAGTGGTCAGGTGCCAGCTGACAACGTATTCGCAAAATTGGGTGCAAAGCTTCTCACGCATCAGAGTTTTTAATGACATTCCGCAGGCTCGTTTCGTTCCGTGGGCCGCGCGAGAGGACACAACGAGGTAAACCACGATGATGCACTGGTTGATTATGAGACAAGGTAACAACCCATGTAGGATGACACCGACATGTCCGTGGACACGCTCGAGTCGATTTACATCGGTCAGGCCAGGGTTGAAAATCGGTCTTCGTGGCCCCGACCAGTTTGCGCAAATGGCCTAGGATGCCTCTGTCCCAGCCCCATATTTGATGTCACAATCCGTTACGTGTGCGATCGGATAATCCAGACATAGATGTTCAGGCATACAGCACATGGCGTGGTCTCCCTTTTGGACCCTGTTGGCTGCACCAGACCAGTAAAGCAATGTTTACGTGAATTTTGTAATGTGTTGTGGCTGTGAGGGAGCTCCGAAACGTTGGTTCGGAAACATTTGGTCAGAAACATCGGTCCGAGGAAAGAGCGCGTTCGATTGGCAGATGTACGCGACAATGCCATGTGTCAAAGATAAGATGTGGCGTGTGTCAGTCATGATCGTCGGCCCCAGCCAGAACACAATTCACCAAGAAACTTGAAATCAACTGCAAGGATCGACGACCTGCAGCCACGTACGATCATTGATATCGGTTCTTGGGCTGGTGGCAGCGCGCCACTTCACCGGAGATGTGGTGTTTCTTTGTGTCACCGACATTCTATGGCAAGCAAATCAGACATGTTGGAGCCCAACAGAGGGGCAGACTCCAATTGAGACCAATGCTGAGGCTGTTTTTTGCGGACTTCGGGCAGATGTTAGTGGGCGATGCATTCAGCAAAGTCGTTACTTGGTCCCAAGTTGCGGAGCATTGCGAAATCATTTGTTGCGCTTGCAGAAGCTTTGTTTGAAGGTTAGTTTGGATGTCACGCTGAAGAACGTCCGCAACATGGTTGAATTTCAGATTCATTTGAACGAGCAGACTAGCACCCTGAGCGGATCTGCGCCGTATGGCTTTACCCGGATTCCCACGTGGAGGTCGATTCCCGATTTTCCCGTTCATACGCCAGTCCACAACGTGGATGCGCTGATCGCTGATGGGGGTACCCAGCAGCTTGATCAAACTACAGCGTCGGTAGCATCGCATCGCCTAATTGCCATCCCTGCTTCAACTCGGCGGGATGGGCCCATCCAGTTCACAGCCATAGTCCCGAAACTGTGTCAACGACTTTCCGCGCAGCATTTTGGTTCGTCCTTGCTCCAGCAGATAACGCGGCTCGAGGCGTTTTAAAATATTTTTGAGACCTTAAGCTCTTGCGTCCGGCTCTGAAACCACGAACATGCCCGGCGGTGCTGGCTCGAGCTGTACCAAAAAGGCAAGGCTTGGCTTTGAACGACCAAACATCCTAACAATCACTTTGCCTTATACATCAAGCACTCAAGCAAACAACAAACAAGCATGCAAAGAAACGAATGGTTGAAACTGTTCCAGGATTTTCACAGTCGCATGTTTGCGAGCTACAGTGCGCAGGGCACTTTTTCAATGCATGTGTGCGGATGTTGCACTCTGCCCGTCAGCGAAATCGTGAGGACCACACGAACCGCACATGAGGGGTATGACCAATACGACTGACAGTCTGCTATGGGGTATGGGCGTGGCGCTTGCTGCCACTGCGTAAAGCCGCAAACTATCAAAAAACCTTGAAACACATTTTGCGGGTACAATTCCCTTGCTTAAAATCAGCCAGGCATGCAGCCATGTCGTTGCAGCACAACCCGTGCAACTGGGATGGATGCTTCATTCAACCGGATGCAGCGGCTCAATGCCATCACTGCTCCAGCAGCTCCAGCAGGCGACCGCGACGGCAGTGACGGCAAGCCATTGGCACGTGAACACGTCAGTTGCGGCCACTCACCCAGGCGGCTCGTTCCAGCTGTCGAAAAGACCGCCTTTCGAGTCCGAAGACCACGAAGCGGCAACGATCGCACTTGATTGGAGTTGCAGTTGAACGTAAATGCGCAGTTTGCTCGCCATAACGACCAGCGTCGTGTTGACCACGATTGAGTCACCTCCTCACAGCGGAACGCCTCCAGCATCCAACGGCGGGGGTTATGGCGGGGGCATCACTTGAGCTTGCGTTCCCGCAAAGCCGCGCTTGTGGCGGCCCGAGTGGTGACCTCCCTGCAAAAGCATGTTCAGAGCATGTTGGGGCGCGCCCCAACGGCCCAACTTCGTATGCCAAGACTCAGGCTTGGGCACTAGCGGACCTTTGGTGCATAATTGTCACCCTTGTTATGGACGTGCATGTCGCCAACGTCACGGCCACCACACCGTTCAAGTCGCTCACGCTGGGCATTCGCTGGGTTGCGTGCTAAAAAAAGCAGAAAACTTGCGAATGGTCTCACGAGGCAGTCATGAGGTTTGCGGGCTTGCGCGTGTTGGGCTGCACGCTTGCAAGGGCCGATCGTGTTTGCCCAGGATGATCGCTAGAGTAGGCCACTTTGTGGGTACACGTGAATGTTGTTTGTTCCGTTGTGTTTTTTTAAAAGGACGCTAGAGGATGCAAACGCCGTGCTCCGCAATGCAAACCCCAGGTATGTCGACATGGAGTCAATAGCTCTTTCGCGTGTGGTTCATTTCGGGGTCACAACCGGCGCCTCACCCAACACGGTCTGCAGCGGTGAAAGTGGTCCGGAATTCTCGTTGTGTGTTGACAGTTTCATTTACGTTGTTCGTGCTTGGTCGTGGGGGTGTTCCCGGATGCTTGATGTATGTGACAACCTGATGAGCAGGTTCCACGTCCTGTCCTTTCTCAGTGGTCGTTCAAAGGCGATTTTTTTTTTCTTTTGGTCTCGCATATGTGTACCTGCACCTAGCCTAGGTGGCTCCCATTCACCGGCTTGGCTGCGCCGACAAGGCTGCAGCTGGCGTCAGGGAGGTCATTTTCAAGATCACGAGCCTGGCCTTGTTCCGCGCCGACACTTTCGATGAGGTTACCCGTTTGCGCTGCAAACCCTGCTGGCACCGATGCGCTTTCGGGCATGCTTGACGGCCGAAACGCCTATGATGCGCCGCCTACCTATGCAAGCTGCAGGCCATCTCGCTGCACTCATCCCGTTTGTTCGCATATAGTATGGGCCGTATTTCACATGCTTGGTGGGGCGATGCAGGCTCTCGCCGCACCATCCACCAAAGTGAAGGCTGCGTACAAGGAAACGCGCTGTGTGCACTTGGCCAACACAACACCGTTGTCGCCGCCGATGAGAGCCACGACCCGGCGAGGCACTCGACGTTGTTTCGACTTCCATCGAAACGCGGGCGAGAGTTGCCGCCAATTTGGGCAAGACCCGGGTCTACAACCGTGTTGGAGGTTCGGCGCCTCCTGGCATCGAAAAACTTGACATAAACATCGGTGCCTGTCGGCGCTCCCGGCGCATCAAGGCGGTCGCCAATGTCTTGGGTTCGGGGTCAAGGGCTTTGGGGTTGAGGTGGAAGGGGTATATGCCGAAACCGGGGAGTTTCCGAAAATAGGGGGCCCTGGTATAGTACCCTGAATAGCAGGATCCTTGTTGTAAGGACCCCGAAATAAGGTAACCCCTAATGTTGGAAACTCCCAAATAGCCGAACTAGTTCCAGAGTGACACCCACGATACGGGGTCTTCGAACGCTTTCCAGGTCAGCTTGTTGGCGGAGAGAGGAAGTCGGGTCAGCTGCAGCGGAACATCTTGCTTCGACGCTTTGAGTGGCCTAAGGAGTTTATGGTGTTCGGTTCAGGGGGTTCAGGGGGTTCAGGGATTCAGGTTTGCGGGGTTCAGGGGTTCAAGGGTCTTAGGGTTTTGGGGGCAAGAGGCTTCAAATAGGCTCATTCACACAAAGGACGGCTCTGTCCGCTACGGGTCCCAAAGTATTTCGGGAGACTTTTTTTTTGAAGCACCTTTTTACGTCCGCCTAACTCGCAAGTCCAAGTCCCCGTGCAACCTGCGTGCTACGGGCCGAGGCGGCTGGGGCTGGGAGGGACTGCGTCGTGCAGTACGTCCTCGAGTGGCGGGTGCTGCGCGCCAGGCAGGGCGCCAGCGATGTACGGCGCTCCGAGCAGCGTGGCAGCAAGTGTGCTTTTGCAAAGCCACGCTCAAGAAGCCCCACCAGCGGCGCAACCAGCCCTGCCTGGCTGCAGGGCGCAGGGCGGTAGGAGCGCGCTGGGCTCGGAGTCGCACGAGTTCGGTGACCAGGCGTAGGGATTCAGCGCACCAGCGTCCCCCAGCTTCGCAGGCAAGGACGCAAAGACGCTGCGGCCCGGGTCGCAGCAACTCAGGGTAGGCCACACGTTTGCGCCGCTCTGCGAAAATGGCAGCGCCGTCGCGCGTGGCAGCAGAAGGATGGGCCCGTCCCTCACGCGTCAGGGGGGACACGAGTGTGACGTCGCAACACAACGCCTCGCCAAGTGCAGTAGCCCCGTAGACAACAAGGTCGAGGCGGCGGCGATCGGCTGGGTCAACGTCAGGGGCGGACGTGCGCGCCAGCCACTGCTGGGGCACTATTTGGCCCTCTGGTCCAACAGCTTCGCGCGCGATGCGCATCCAACCGCAGCCGCCACCGCAGTGTTATGAGCATACGGTCCGGTGGCAGAGCGAAGCCAGCCTCGCTCGGTATGGCACTGAGCCACGCGGCCGCGTGCGGCCCGGACTGCGAACGCAGCATGGCCTGGGCAAGGGGTAGCAGGGTAGGCAGCAGCTCGGTCTCGCGAAAGTGGGTAGAGCAGGCGCCAGGCTCGGGAAGGTCGCATTGTGGGGGGCGCAGGCCGTTGTGTACGTCGTGCCAAGATGGGCGGCCCTGCCATCCGGTACCCTCAAGCACGCGGCCAGCCTCGTCGGCAGCACGCAGGCAGGCGGCGACCTTTCCACTTTGCCCGCTGCACGGGTGAGTGCGCGGCTTGCCCTTGGCACGCCTGGAGCTGCACGCGCCGCGCCTAGCAAGGCGTTCCATCATCCAGCGAGGAAGGCGCGCACGCGTTGCAAGAGGGCGTGTCAAACTATGCCGAATTCGCGAGCGCGGTAGCAAGCGTAGTGCCACCGGTTCCTGTGTTTACTCAGGGTTGTTTCGGACTTACTCATCCCCGCGGCCCCGCTTGGGTTCAAGCATACACCACGCAACAGCAGCTTGCTTTCAAAAACTTTTAGCTTTAGCTGTTGACTTTCCAGCTTTGCTTCATGCTTAGGCTTTTAGCTGTCAGGACTACTTTTCAGCAGCTTTAAGCTAAGCGAGTCCAGCCAGCCTCTTGCATGGACAACCTGCCGGCCGCTTCCCGCCCTCAGCTGCAGCTCCAACTGACCGAAGAGGTCAGATCACTGATCGATAGGTTCGTCGACTTGGAGGCTGAGGAGGCCGCACAACGAGCGGAAATCTCCCGCTTGCACTGCAGGGTCAGCCGGCTTGAAGCTCAGGTACACCAAGGTCACAACTGGCTTTTGCACCTAGCAGACAGGGCCACCTCATTGGAAGAGGTTACACAGAAGCTTTCTATCAGGCTGCGGGCCTTGGTCAGCTTGCTTCGCGAAACGCTTTCTGAGACTGTTGCCCGTCTTCGGATCTGGTTCTAGGTATGGCTGCTTCTGGCTCGGGCAGTGGTGATGCACCAGCTTTGCCTTCTAGCAGGGTGGCTACGGACATACTCTTGGCTGACTCATCGCCTTTATGCACGGATGCTGACGCTTTGGAACTTAGGGAATCTTTTCGCAACCATTTTGCTGACTTTGCGGACCCTGAGTACCCTAATCAAGTGCCCTCAGCTTCGGCGCCCACTTTTGAGGTTGCCGATTCAGATGCAGAGGAAGCCTTTGAACCCAGGAGCAAGCTTCGACGCCGCTGGCTTCACCAAGCCCACTGTGCCCCGGTGACTCCTCCCCTACCTATGGAAACCAGCCCAGGTGCATCCAGCGGTGATCA